CTTCTGACCTCCGTGGACTGTACAAGACCTTTGAAAATAAGTTCCTATTTAACAATACATGTATTAGCAGACAATATATATTTTGACAATATATATACATTTCCTGTTTCCTGCTTAAGAATAGCATAACTAAATTGATCACCAAAAATACAAACATGGGCCGTTTGTGTCCATAGCTGGGAAATATAGGTACAGATAGCTTGATTTTGTTCACTAAGTCACTGTGATGTGAACCTTTCTGAAAAAGAACAGAATCATAAAAACAGACTGATGCTTAAAACTGGAAGGACGGTATTTCATGGTTTGGTAGAATATTCAGGAACTGCTTGATTGAAATACTTTTACCTCAGCTGACTAAGAAGAAAGTCAAGTCTAAGTATTAAAAATGATTGTATTTGTAAGCTGTAATGTTTCCCAAACATACAGTTTACACAAGTAAATTAAGTTTGACAATACCTGCAGGTGGCTGTGTGGATACATTATATGCATGTTTGTGCCAGTTTGACTCTGAGTATCCTTATCTATAACAATAACACTGTAAGGATGATGTGGGTAATAGTAAAAGTGGGTCAAACTATTACATAGTTTATGCTCTAGATCATAACTAAAGTACACATTAAATATTCTGGGATAGCACTACATATCTATCTCAATCACGAGACTACAGACAAGCAAATGTTTATTTGCCAAGTAGGCCTAAGTATTACATAATTTTGTTAAAAGGCAGACAGCTAGTCTGTCTTACAGACCCTGATACAAATATATCAACTACAGCCCATGCAAGTCTATAATGTTTGGCAAGTCTAGCTTACTGCAGTATCAGGTGAAAATGACGAGAATCACTGAGCTCCCCTTTTATTTTATTTTTATTAAGACAACTGAACAACTGTTTTTTCTGTACGATATGTTCATTTCAGAGACTAGATGTTAGTCTAGCAGACAGCTTAATTTCTCTTTCTTTTAGTAGAGCAAAACAGAAACCAAAAACCAAAAAAACCTTGAGTGTCTTTAATTGTTTAGAATGGAGTGAGTACAAAGAAACATGAATATGGATATGCTTCACTGTGCAGGGTGCATTAAATAAAAGTAATTATTGTCCAGAATTTAACAAAAGAGATGTTTTTTTTTGCCTAAGCGAAAAGTGTCAAATTCAATATAAATTAGCTTCTGAATTATATATTTTTTCAGCATGGCCTAATATATACCCCTCCCCTGTGGGGATTCTGGTTTAGAATATAGCTGGAATATTGCTGAGTGCGCCATTACATATCACATAAACAAACAAACATCAATGGACATATCTTCCAGTACAACGTTGGAGCAGAGACCATATAATGGTCTCTGATTGGAGCAAGGCTACCGACTGGCCTGCGTTACATGACGCGATGAGGTCCGTGACTAAATTGTACCTGTCTTTGTACCCCAACTGTGTGGACCGTCGCTAAAACTACATTCACTGGTTTGTCTGTTCTAGATTCCATTTACAGGCCACAGTTACATTGCTGACGCTTTTTTTCATAAATAGCAAATCTTTACATATATATCCTTGATACCGTCGGATCAACTCAAACGTCAAACGTTTTCGGACTGCAATGTTCATCGTGATTACTCGAGCTATAACGGGGGATAGCATCACACAGCCATTGTAAGTATACAGTTGATGGCTTGTTTCTAAGAGAAAATTGTCTTTTAAAAGTGAATGAGATATTTTACATTTGTTCATGTGATTAGAGAGTAAACTACATGTGTCTCTTACGCGTCCGAAAACCAGGGGGGAAATATGGATTAGCAAGGGAGGTAACTCATAACGACATCGTGTAGTGCCGATAATAAAAACATATAAAACATTGTCTGCAAACATATATTTTTACCGATGTAGACACAACACGGTCGATATTGATAATACGAACGGTTCATGATTTTGACTAGATCTACCAATTTAGTTTTAGATAGATGGAATGTTTTACTCTCATCCTGCTCTCGACATACACTATCCGTTGATTACAGACCTTGACCTTCACGTTTTCGCAACGACCCAAAGAATTGTAGATTATAGATGGAACAGTAATATGGAGACTTGTTTAAACCACGTAAGCACATCGTCAAATAGTTTCAGTAGGCTGCCTTACTTCTTGATTGCACACGCTACCCAGTGATTGATCTGCATACGAAAGTGAGTGAGTGAGTTGGGTTTAACGCCGCTATAACATTATTCCAGTTATATCACGGCGTGTCAGCTTAATGTGGGAGGAAAGCCCGAAGTAATGCAGGCCTAAGACGTTAACCACTTCGGTGAAACCCACGAGCACGGGTATGGTGCTGACAAACCTAGAAACAAAATTGGGGCGAACCGGGATTCGAACCCACAATCATAGGTTTCTGGCGTGCACAAGAGACGCAACTCTGCACAGCGAATCGCCGCGCCTTAGACCACTGGGCCACCCGTGCCCCCGCATACGAAAGTGATACCATAAAGAAACGATTACCAATAGGCACATAGGTGACGTATAGAAACTACAGAACCTACTGTGTTGCTTGCCTCAATATGGCGTGCCTTGGATGAGAAATATGGTGTTGCCTAATATGGTCACGCTCTTTCATGTTGTTATTGTTATTTAGTGGTAGCAGTACATGTTAGTCTCCAGAGACGCATAGACCGTCTTTGTAGATCTACCTGCTAGTAGCAGTTCACAGTAGCTAACAAATCTGTCCTAGTACAGTCATGCCCCGCTTAAACGGACTTCAGATATCCGGAAACCTTGGTTCCCGGACGATTTTTATTCAAAACGAAATAATTACTATATAAATTTACCCGTATATCCGGAAATTCAGTTTCCGGAACCGGATGTAGTAGGTAGTAGGTAATATTTCCTGGATCGGGTGGTCAGCTTGATGTGGGAGGAAGGCCCGAAATGACGCTTGTCTTAATTTAATCTAAGAAAAGCGCCGAATGGTTTATAAATGTGTCACTGGATATAAATATAATATTCCGTCAATTATAATTTCTGAATAGCAAAATTCACCAGTACAGTAGTTGACTGACAAATAATGAATCGTCAATGAGTCAAACAAAAAATAAACATGTCATGAATTAGAAAGACGCCATTTCGGCCCTACGTTTTCTCTGACGTGTATAAAATTTTGTAATTAAAATTGAACAGCATGTGCGTTATGCGCCAGGAATGGGACTTGAACGTCCGACGTGTTGCTTCAGAAAATTAATACCGTATTCGACGTAATAAGCGCCCCGCTCTAATAAGCGCCCGCGGCGATATTTTCTAATACTGACTGACTGACTGAGTATGGTTTTATGGTATTTGCAAGTGAACAATCCCAAAAGCGTCCCCATCCGATTGATAAATGTACACAAGACTATTTACTCGTGCATAATACGTTTGTTATATGTCACCCTTAATTATGAGCAATTAAATTCTGGAAAAATATATCTGTCGTATATAAACATTTACGATCTTTCATCTCTGTTGTTTTTCACCAAAATAATATTCTAATAAGAGCCCCCTATTTCTAATTTTGAGAGCGCCCTGGGCGCTTATTATGTCGAATACGGTAAATGAACCACCTGGCTGTGTTGCCAACAGTTTATATAATGCCAACAAAGAAAACCACTTAGCAAGAGTTGTTGTCGGTGACGAAAATTAATACAATATTGATTTCCTGTCTTCAAAAGATGAAACATGCCTGCCTCCCGTCCGCTGCTGGAAACTGATCAGAGAGTCCAACTATATGTCAATGGAGTGTTTGTGTTTAATCCACCCATTGTTTCTTTCATATATAGTCTAGTGGTTAATGCGTTCGCTCGTCACGCCGAAGGCCCGGGTTCGATTCTCATAATGATTAAACTATGTGAAGCCAATTTCTGGCGACCAAAGTCGTCATGGCTCCGTAGATATTGCTCAGAGCGGCGTAAAACTACATCACAGTCACTGAAATTCACGTTAATGATCGAAGTGGGTGTAAAATAATGTAAAGGCATAATTCTAAGAGAAATACTGGACGATTTGGCAGGACACAAACTATATAAATACCGTTAATAGTTGACATTATTCCCAGGAAAGCAGATAAACGGAACTGTATTCCCGAATGACAACCAGGAGATCTATTTCGAGTAAGAATTCTTTTTCAGTCCGCGATCTAAATATATTTTTCTTCTAAAAGGATCGAAGACCTCAAACGTCCAATGCCATGCAAGTTCAGTTTTTGAGGTCGGCCTAATACCCGAGGAAGGACCAATTTAATTTAGGGAAAAGATTATATTTTTAAAAACACCCACACAAACCTCCCCTGAATCCCGAATATTATCCATGTTTTCACACACAGTCTCGATCATTGCTTACCTTGAAGTCAGGAATAATTTACACACGCATTGAGAAAAGGGTGACATTTGCAGTTGGAAAAATATCGAAAAAATGAAATAATATGAAGGATATTGACGTACACTAAATTTTATTTTTTCGTGTTATTTGCGTCCCATGCACGTAGCGCTCTTCTGGTCGAGTCCCGAATACTCTTAATATAAACCCTGAATCCCGCTTTCCAAGAGGGGTTGGCAAACTCATATTAACATGATAACAGACACAAGGTAATTTGTTGAATTCATATTTTCTGATATTACAATATATATGTATTTAAAACCCGATTATGGCTTTAAACGCTAATCCAAACACATTTCGACACATTGGGTTCATTAGAAAAAACCGAAAAACGAATGCACACTCAATTTATTATTTAAAATAAATTATAATAATTTGTCCTGTAGTACTAGTGTTCAGGTTGTTAAAAAAAAGTTCGCCTAACCAGGAAAGTTTATTTACAGGCACTTGTGGCACATGTTTTGTCAAATCTATGCTGTTTCATTAAAAAAGCTAGCTGGAACACGTCGCGTCAATGATGTCACGTGATTCTTACGCGGGAAATTGGTTACCGGAAGTGCCAATGTCGTCTGCTGCAAATACTGGCGTCTGCTATCTGTTGCGCAACCCATTCTTGAACACAGATTTTAGAGCAGCTCAGACAGGGCACCCAGTTATCTGTTTCCAATGCGCGAGACAACTGCCGAAAGCACTGAAAATATTCTCTTCAGAGTTTTTGTCTTTTTGAATCGATTATTGTGAGGTAAGATCCAGTTTAATGATTTTTTTATGTTGTGACTTTGATCATTTTGATTCGTGGTCAATTTTAAAACAGTAATCGACAGTTTCTAGTGTGGCCACAGGAACAATCTGTTTGGTAACAAGCTGATTTTCACATGTGGACTAATGTCATGTCGGCCTGGTCTGTATATATCTGTAAGGCCTGCACCTTTGAATACAAAGCGCAAATTCCGCACAAAGTTAATTGTATAATGATGTGATCATGTATGTATTGGTTTACATTCGCGTGATATGGTCGGAATCGAACAATCGATTGTGTTTTTCACAGAAAGTTCTTATGACTATGGAAAGGGTTTTGTCACTTTTATTTGTCTATGAATGATTCCAAGTTATGCACGTATCTTCATCTTCTCATTCTGATTTCATATTTCAGAGTGAGCTCTTCACTGTGAACATCGAAGTTGACAATCATCATGGACATACCGGTAAGTTGGGTTGAAGGGGTCGTCGGCACAGATAGCCAACTACAGAAATGTACCCCAGGTACGTTTCTGTATACAGAAATGTACCCTAGCCAAAATTAAAATCAAAATCAATATATTTTCTTGTGTTTCATGTGCACGTGAGTATAGATTTAAACGGCGAATTTCAGGGTGCGGGGGAATTGCTACCACTACCAGTCTTGGAAATACCTTTTATCCCCCTGGCACATAATGTGGGGAGATATAGTTCGATGCCTTTACCGTCCGTCCGTCCGTCCGTAGTCCTTTCATTTAGGCTACGGAACATATTCGAAAACCGTTCAATATTTTTCAACAAAACTTGGCAGATATATGTAACATATTCTGAAGTGGAGCCTTTTGCTATTTACGGATTTGGGGCATTTTTCTTTTTCTCAATTTCCATGGAAACAATTTGGACTTCGTCTGTAAAGGGTGGGGTAGAAGGTGTCATTTGTGGAGCACAATTTAAAAACTGTGAAAGGCTTTTCATCCAAACCTGGTACATGTATTAACCAAGAGCTGAAGTGATGCCTTTGCTATTTATGAATTTTAAAAAAATTGATTTTTCCGGTCAAACAAGTTTGACTTTGACCCTGTTCATAGTGGTGTGTTTGTCTGGGCCATATCTCAACTAGTAAGAATTCTTTCATAACACCTTCTACAAATAAAGACCAGGTTGTCAAATGGTGTCTTTTGCTATTTGGGGGTGTTTAAAATTTGTATATTTGCTATTTCTGTGGCAACAAGTTTGACTTTTTTACTCTTCATAGTGGTCAGTGTTTGAAATTGGCACTCGTACTGTAGGCCTAGTCCTTGCCAAACTGCCCAATGGTAAAGGTATCATAAGGACTTGTAGAAATTTGCCCTTTATAAGGCTTTTGCTACTTGTTATCATTATAAGGACTAGTGGACTAAAAATGTTAGTTTCTACCCCTGGTGGTGTGTTTGTGCGGACCATATCTCTACTTTTGAAACTGCACACACAAAGACCCATGTTGTCAACTGGTGTCTTGCTATTTAGGGATCTTTAGAGTTTATATTTTTTTCTGTTTCCATGGCAACAACTTTGACTTTGACTGTTCAAAGTGGTGTGTACCTGACATTGAAATACACAATTCCATGGTATTGTTTTCATAGCTCAAAAACTTGTTGTTGGTTGCAATATTCCAGACCAGATGATCCAGTGATTAATATCATGAGCATCGATCCACGCAATTGGGATCGATGACATGAATCAACCAAGTCAGCGAGCCTGACCTCCCGATCCCGTTAGTCGCCTTTTACGACAAGCATAGTCACCTTTTACGGCAAGCATGGGTTCCTGAAGACCTATTCTACCCCGAAATCTTCATGGGTCAGCTCAATAACTACTCTTGTATACGGACAGACATATTCGTTAGAAATTCTCTGATCCAGTTCTCTAAACAACGGTCAAAAGATTTGTTCATTCGAATTTGTGGGGGCTGGGGGGATTTGTCATCTCCTCTTGTTGAATACCTGCACCGTGGTGGCAGCTTGGTCGTCGGAAATTTGGACCATTTTAATGTTTCTCCGATTGTCAAACTCAGCAAAACTTCTTTGAATCTTCTTAGATTAGCCACTTAAGTTAAACATCAGCATTTCTAGCCAACTTTCTTGACACTTTCTTTTCTTTAGATGAAGTTTGGGCGGTACCGTCTTGACCTTGTGTCCTAGACATTGTCAAGATTGTGTTAACCAGGGTTAGAAATTAACACTAGCCCGCTAGCCCGAGGCTAGTACAAATTCATTCAGGCTAGTACAAATTTCCCCATTGTTTTAACATTACAAACTCATTTTATCTTTACTGGGGCTAGTGAAGCTTTTGAGTTTAGTTCTAACCCGGTTAACAAGTTTTGTGATTGGCTTACTTTTTTCAGCCAATCAGCAATGCCTTTACAGACAAGACATGAAAGAGAAACATCATTTGATACTTCGCTGGTTCCCGAATCGCCATTGATTAACAAAAAAACATTAAATTATGTATGAAGTAAACATTATTCAGTGTCTGCTCTGGCTTAAAGTTTCTTGGGGTCAGTTGGACCCCTTCAGCATAAAATTAGGGGTCCCAAACAAAAATGGAGGGGTCCAATTTGTAGCATCATAATATAACATAAACAACAGAATACAGTGGTTGTGAAAAATCAGACATCTTTTCGCAACTGCAAAATATCAACAAACAGGCAAAGTGAGAGAAAGGTTCACATCAGGACACATCCTGCTCTCATGACCAAGAGGTTTACATTAAGGGACAAACAATTTCTTAAAATGGAAATTTGATACTAATGAATATTTTAACACAAAACTATCCATGTTAATATCTAACTTTGTAAATGAAAAGGCAGTACACGGGTGATCAGCCATTGGTAAGGGGTCATAGGGGCAGACATTTGTTAATGTTTATATCTAGATCTTCCAATGATTTGAAGTTTATGGATTCAGTCAAGTTCAATGGCTGTTCTGATGCTACTGTACTGAGTAGTGAGTTCATGTCGTAACTGTGACAATGATCAATGAGTCATAACATAATTGGGATATCAAACAGTTTTTTTAAGTAAGAGTATGTTCAGGATCCAGCATTTCCTTCATAAATCTAGTCAACAATGAACATGTTTCAGGTGCTATAAATGTTAAAACATGTCATTTACACTAATAACGGTTCTGTCAAAATGTGTTTTGCAATTCTTAATATAACCCACAAGAGATTGAATTATAATCAGCTTGATAAGTCTGTTGTAGAATAACTAAATATTCAGAGTCCGCTAAATAAAAACAATGCTTACATTCAAGTGTCCGCATTTATTCTTTATCATATACAGTATGGCGGTATCGATAAATCTCGAAATCCACACAAACTGTCGACTGTTTACTTATGCAAATCTAAGCACGATATATTTCATTGCATGATTGAATACAGGACTCGTTGCGGTATGTCACGGCTACTTGTACACACGTTAACTTCTTTATGATAGTTTCTGGGATGTTTTTGAAGTGGAATTACCCCTACCTCCATTCGAAATTGATACGAAAAAGAACCCATTTGTTTAAACGAAGTCCCTTGATCAAACCTCGGTCGTATGTAAAATACAAAACAGGACGTGATGTAAACCATATAACCCACACAGGAACTTTGTTTACCAAACTCGGTAAAGAAAATCAGCATCGATCAATCCAATGAACAAAAAATATTTGAATCACATATTTAATAAGGTTATAAGCGTGCCCCATTTCAATCTACTGCGATAACATAGCGTACCATCCTACACGGTCGCTCGATTTCGCGGGTCAATGTTACCACGTTCTGAAGTATACCCTTCATGTGCCGGGCTATTTTTAGTTTGACACAAGGTCGGGAAATTTTCGACCAATCAAGCTAAATGAATTACGACTATATCCGACCTGCTTAATATGCGGCACCTGATTGGCTGAAGCAAAGCTACGGACCATACCAAACATTAATACATGCAAAACCGAAAATAGATATAGGTCAAGAAACCGGTTTGGGTATTTGTCATAAACAGGGAGAGAATAATGAAACTGGTTTGGTTCAGCAAACGGAAGTGTTAATCAACATGCTTCCCGGTCTTGTTTGGCAACAAATACCCTTACGCAAAGACGTACGTCTTTGATTTACGATAACAGTGTCAATTCGATATGAAATTAATAACGCCCCAGTCACTGCGTCCACGAGACCCACACATGTTACGCAGGTGCGTTCAAACTCATTTTTGTGCGTCCAAGATGCAAAAACGCGCTCTTCAGCCAACACTGATTATTCCACATGAGGGTTGGCTGTAGGTTGGGTTGTTTTGCTTCCTAGTATGTTTCAGTGCATATGTTTGTACATGATATGCCGTTAATGCAAACACTGACTGGAGAATCACTTATTTTACAGATCCTACCAGCTTTGAGCAGAGAAGGTGAGAGTCCCATTGACTACAAGGCCATCATGAAGAAGAAAGTTTGTGATGAAATCGAACAGTTCTTCACCAAGGCTGAACTGACCACCATGTCCAATTATGAAAAGCTACGACTACGAAATATGAGGAAAAACTATGAGATGATGGCTGAACTAGGTATGCTGTTGTTTTGTTGTTTATATATTTGGCATAAGATGAGTTAAGATTCTGAGTCACAGTAACCTGTGTTTGCTCGTGTGTAGTTGTTGAATATACTGGAACCCAGCGTTAGAATAGACCAATCCAGCCCCGACTGATAAGTCCCACCCACAAGCTGCCGTCCTCGTTTTAGGCGTTAGGGGGGACAACCACTGGCTATTCGCTATGGCGTCACAGCCGGCGAAACTTGAATGAGCGGGCGATGAATTTGGTTCAGAATGTTTTGTTACCAGTCGTGTGTCAAAAATATCAAAAAGAGTTATATATGATCTGTTTTGGGTTCTATTTTAGTTGTCAAATTGCATATGGGGAGTAAGAATGAGTCATATGTCTGATGTAATGGTGTATGGGTCAATGAGGAAGTCACCACGGCTGAAAGTTAGAAGTGTGCACTACTTCGAAGCACTCGCGTCAGGCAGAGCATAACATATTGTCAATATATATAGCATGTAAAAAATATATCACTCATCCAAGGGCTAACTAACTAAGTTTTGTTATTACTTTGTGTAGCAGGGCGTGGAGTCATCCCACAGATGACATCCTTACCTTGTCAGCTTGCTGACAGGGTTAACCTCTTTGGACATGTGGACAAGGCGTCTGACCCAAGTCAGAAATTCCGTGGTTGGAATCCCATCATGGGACTCATGGGATTTTATGGCTGCTACATTTGCATCGTAATTTAAGTGTATGGAAAGTACTGGAAACCGTAAACACAAGCACAAAGTGAGAAATCATGTGGATATCTATAAATAGAATGTCAACAGTTACATTGGCCACGTTTTTCGTCTGCTGCTCGAAGTGAAACCAATAAAGCCTGAAAGGCATGGAGTTAGTCATATTAATAAATAAACATAACAGAATAGTTGAATAAAAGTATAAAATCAAAGCAGTACCTTATTTTCCCCACTGCTACATTGGTTTTTGGACACCTGGAACATGGGGTTGGGTATGTCACCAGGAATAAATCTAGACCTGCTCAGGAGGCTGATATTCAGCCCTAAATCTGTAGCAGATGTCAGTAAACTGTCTCTCTTCAAATGTTTTAACATATCCAAAAATAATGCAGAATGTAAGGAAATTATGTTATTATTTTTTTTCCCAATCTGTTTGCCAAGGGCACTTAGTTTGGAATTCTAAATTTAGATCAAAATCCCTGGTCACACTTCCAGAATATTGGACTTAATAAACTGCCAACATTTAGGTACATGTTTGAAAACATTAAGAGGATCCAAGATAAAATGAGCACCTGTAACAGTTAAACTGCCATGGTTATGGCAAGTCAATCGGATTCATGTTCCGGAAAAATGAAACCTGTGTACCTGCAGTACTTCCCATCAATTAACTTGCATTGATAAAATATACAACACAAATTAAAATTCATATATGATCTTTTATTCAAAAGACTTGCTAATCCAAGCATTATTACTGCTAACAACTAAACATGTAAATGAAGTACAACAAATATCTCATAAGGAAGAGAATTTATGGGTGTTAACTTCTTAACTATGGGGAAAACCACCATCCTTAAATTCTCTTCCTTATGTGTATCACTTCTAAATGCCATCCAAAGACTTACATATGTCATAAGTCAAAAGCTTTAATCAACAAAATTACCTGTTGACATCATGACTGTTACTTAATAAGAAGAAATAATTCTTTCATTGCTCCAGAAACCACATACCTACAGGAAATAACACTAAATAATATTTCATTTTACAAATCACATGTGAAGTGACAAGTATTACTTATGCATGAGTCATTGAGACAACATACATTTAAATGCAAATATTAGGTTGCTGGACACCTGGAGTTCATTAGATATTTAAACATACATTCCAAGTATGCTTCACAAATACTGAGGTGGCCATGACCTTTCCTTAAATGATAAAAATATACACAAACACGGATTCAGACCAGTTCCGTGTCTAGGATACTGACTGATCGTCATCCATAATGTCATAAAGTTGTTCTAAAATTTGGTAAAGTCATATCAAAAGATTAAAACCCCACTTGAAAATGTCCTGAGTGAGTGAGTGAGTGTGTTTGGTTTAACGCCGCTTTAACATTATTCCAGTTATATCACGGCGTGTCAGCTTAATGTGGAGGAAAGCCCAAAGTGATGCAGGTCTCAGACGTTTACCACTTCGGTGAAACCCACGAGCACGGGTATGGTGCTGACAAACCTAGAAACATAATCGGGGCGCACCGGGATTCGAACCCACAATCATAGCGAATCACGGCGCCTTAAACGACTGGGCCACCCGTGCTCCCGAAAATGTCCTGAAACCAGCAAAATGTGAAGTAAACATGAAGCTCATTCTCAACATAATCATAACCAAAACTTGAACAATATGTAATTAACCAACATTCTTAATAAACACTAGCTCTTGCTCAATTACCAAATATTGACAATCTTCTCAAATCAAGGTAAAGAATTTCATTTTGAGTTAAATACATTTCAATATTCACAGTTATATATGACATGTATTAAGAATTATATAATTCATTCTGTATCAGAATTGATCAGGCACTTTGGATAATGCCTCAGCCCTGATCAGGGTGTGACAAAGAGATGCTGCCTTTGTTAACAAATTCTTTGTATCTTGAAATAAGTATCATGTGTTATGATACTGACAATGACTTTCAACACTTTCTTTTTTAAAAATATATTATTTAAAAAGAATTTTTAAAATAATATTATGTCCTATAGAAAGAGCCAACAAGCTAAGTTTTATACCAGGTGGATGTTGTACCATCAAATGTTTAGTGTTTTCTAGTAAGTGCAATTAAATCATATTAATCTTACTTTTATACGGCATCAATGAAATGACCGGTTGGAATAATTATTAATTACTTGATTAGATTATAATTTATATCATTACTTGACCATGTTACTCTGAGTTCATAAAAAAACTTGCTATTATTTCCAGTAAATTAATTAAAATGACTTGACACTTAAAATCTTTTTTAACGGTTATATTGTTTCACTAAAATGTATATCAGTAAGCTTCCACTACCAGTGAATAACCTATATTGCAAACATTTCTAAACCAATAATTTTCTTATGTCAACTAAGATTTTTATTTATTTCAATCTGTCAAAATATATCAGTAATTCACTTCCTTCTCACGAAATTGTCCTCTTCTTTCTAACCTTGAAGGGATGATTCCATTTCACAAGATTAGGATCAGGTAATTCATTACTGCATGGGTCTGTCTCTTCACAGAAATGCTGAAATAGTCAAAGCATGATAGTTTAAAGAATTATTACTGCTAGAGTAATTTGCAACATTATGCTTGAGTAATTTGCAATATAAATAGATAAGCTTATTGTGATTTTTGTGATTTTGAAACTAAATCATATCTAAAAAACTAACAAAATATATCATATCTAAGAGAGAGGAATACAATTTCCACTAGATTGTACTTCAATGTAAATAATAGTAGATTTCGTGCTGCTCTAACCGAAATCTGATCACTGTCATATTTGTTTACAGTGTGGCGCAGACGTCTTGCGTGTCATATTTCAGCAATATTACCTGCTAACTCAATGCCCGATGTCGCCAAAATACATAATTCAAAAAAGATTTTGTAGTTACAAGCATTATCCTTGTTTATAACGTGTAAAATCATAACTTTCTACTTGGTTGTCATTTACCAGTATTGAGTATGCATATGTGCCAAAGTGCGAAAATTCGTGCAAATTCTCACCTTCGAGCAGACGTGGTTCCCGTGGAAAATGGTGGCTACATTTTACTGATGGTGAGGCCTACCCCACGCACATCTTGATCAGCCTCAAACATTTTTTCTCCTGACTCTGTGGGTTTGGGTAAAGGTATACATCTAATCCCGGCGATACGTAATGAATATCGCGAAAAAAGCACAAACCGTAACCACGTCGCTTCTCGGGTGTCGTTTGACCTCGGAAGTAAGTCTGACAAATCCGCAAAGCGTGCCCGGCCTTCTGATTGGCTCAAACTGACGCATGCGCCAATTTTGATTGACAGACTGGATTGGTCTATTGGCACTGGTCCTGTTGTCCTTGCCAAACTGCCCAATAGTTAAGGTATGATGACAAGTAGAACTTTGTCACTTTTAAGGCTTTTGCCATATGTTATCATTATAAGGACTCATGGGCTAAAACTGTTAGTTTCTACCCCTGCCTTTGACTTGCCTACTTAATTTCAAACACTGAAATAGATAAGGTGACTTGGTTGATTACGTGGTATTGTACCCCAATGGCATAGGACGTTGCACTTATATTTTGTTAACTGGTTTGTGTGGTCCAGACAGAATATTTAAAGGTCCTCTCATACAGCTGGAATATTGCTGACATCAAAGACCAAAGCAAACATAAGTGTAATATTTGTAATTGGTTTGCTTGTACTTGCCAGATGCCAACCCTAGATACTTGTTTCATTTCAGGCCTTGTCTCATTAATGAGGCCAGTACGCATGAAAATCAAGGAGTTCTTGTCATAACCCTGATGATAAGATTTAGAGGGTTCCTAGATTCAAATACCATTGAAGACCTTAAGAATCCATGGAACCTCCTCAATTTCGAGCAAGGGTAAATCATATTGGCTGTACGAGTGTGAAAACTATTAGTTGGAAGAGGGGAACAGCAGCCTTTTGTTCTAGCCTGGAGTACATTTCTATCCATGTGAGGATTCTGGAAAGTAACAGGACTGCAGTACTTCATGCTTGTTTAAGTGCCAATCGCATTGAAATCAGACCTTAGTTCTGGCTACAGCTAAACAAAGATCTGAGGACATCCCATTAGGGGTCAGGTCAGAACGACCTATAATCCAACCAATCAGAGCGTCGCCTACCAGATCATGAATGTGACAGTCGGAATGTGATTTCTAATCATGCAACCACGAGAACTTAAACACGGGGAATTCCAAACGATAGTTACAGGTTTAACGACTGAATCCATACAATCTAGACCTCCATTCCAGAATGTTCTTTAGTTCAGGTTTCAAAGTTTTAATCGAGAATTTGTCAAAATATGTTTTGAAGCGTTGTCACCAATTTGAAATTAGTGCCGTAAAGCACGTGAAAGCTGTCTTCTGATTGGTCATTCCATTGGTGGGTCAAGGTTTGCGCAAGGTTGGTGTCACTTAACCCGTAATGGGATGTCCTCAGATCTTTGTTTAGCGGTAGATCTGATTTTAATGAGATTGGTCTAAGTGCTAACCGAAAAGGGGATTGGATATGACTTGGCTCAGTGTGCAGGGTTTCTGCAAATCCATCCATTTTTGAGGACATCAACTGATTATCCTCCAATATGTCCTGAACATATTTTTCAAATTTGGAAATGATCAGAGTTGATAAGATCATAAAAATATCCCTTTGGCATTTATCTGTAGTAAGGTCACTGGGGTGTAGTAATTCACAGATTTCAGTGAACAGGGTTACGTGACGAAAATATTTGCATATGGTATCGTGAGCTGATGCATCACTAGAAAACAATACAAAAGTTCATTTTATTATAAGTATTTGTGTCTTATTGTGGTATAATCTATTGATATAACTTACAGACCTAGTCATCGTAACACAGAAGAGTGTAGCTTGCAGGGGTGGAAATTTGCCATTTCCCGACTACCAGGGCAAGTAGAAATACGAGGCCAGGCAACAAAATCACTTACTTTAACTTGTCTGGAGGCAAGTAATATTGGAAATTACTATCACTGTCTACATGTCTAACTACTGGTAAAATGGTACAATAAATTAGCTGAGAGAAATTTCGTAATCGCGCTTTCGTGAAACACTGACACTATTAAAGAACACACGAGACTTAGAGTTACGTCCCTTTTCTATTTTCGTTTTAATATTCAATCGGAACAGTATAAAACCACTTTCTACACTTGGTTTGAATGCTTTTCTCTCATTGTGGCCTAGAGGGATCTGATACTTGATACACGATCAATACTGCCTAGAGGGGTTTCGTAATTGAAACACATCGTGGCCTGTGGCTGTCTCCAATGTAAACGACCCGGTTATGGCGACACACAAGCTGGCGTCGATTTAAAGTTATTTCGGTGCGGAAAGTGAAAATAAATCTGAAAATGTCGATGATAGCGAATCATGTAATAGAAAACGACCAAATGAGGACACATGTTCTAAGAACAAGAGGTATGATGCCGAAAAACGCGACAGAAAATTCATTCAGAGTTGGTGCGATGAGTTTCCATGGGTAGCGTACGACAAAAAAAAAAATGTCATGAAGTGCAGAATTTGTAACATCCAGAAATAAGAAACATGTTTTTGTTGACGGTTGTACACAATTTCAAAAAAACATTATTTGACAAGTCATGAGGTTTCCGATGTTCAATTAGAATTTACCCGAGTCCTTATGTAGATATAACAGTGCTGGTGTAGTGTGGTTTTGTTCAACGGTAAATAAACACATATTGATGATTTGAAGTTTTATTTTGAATTTTTTTGAGCAAGTGAAAATGAAATCAGTTCAAGTGAAAATTGTCTTGAAACTTGTCCGATGGCAAGTGAATTTTTTTCTAAATTTCCACCCCTGGCTTGCTCATGCTTCAGTCATAGTTTTGCTGGTACAAACTCTTATGCTGCTGTTTTAGCCACATTCAATCACTTCCTCTGGTATGTTACCAGCAGTGTTACTTACCTGTTCATACTGTCTGAACATCAGTTGTGCATTTTTGTTTGTTCTAAAAATAAAAAGAAACAGAAATATTTTGTGGCTAGTCATAAGTTTGTTTGTTGTTTTACACCACACGCAATATTCCAGCTATAAGATGGCGGCTGCATTTCGTCCACTGGTCCTTATGATGATAACATATACAAACCCCTTTTGAATGGCAAATTTCTAATAGTCCTTATGATACCATAACTACTGGGTAGTTTAGCAGGGACGACAGGACTAGTACCCATTTCTAATGCTGGTCTGTAAAGTATCGATTCTAGACAAGACAATCCAGTGAGTAACATCATGAGCATCGATCTACGCAATTGGGATACAATGACATGCATCCAACAACTCACTGAGCCTGACCACCCGATCCTGTTAGTCGCCTCTTACGACAAGCATAGTCGCCTCTTACGACAAGCATAGTCGCCTCTTACGACAATACACGAGTTGTACCCATGTGGATAAACGAAACCTGGGCATTCGGCGTTACGACGAAACGCTTTCATCACAAGGCTACTAGAAGGGTAACGCTATTTTTCAGGGTATTATCATTTGCAGAAGCCCGAGGTTTTCTATTAACTGCCCGACGAAGGAGGGCAGTTGAAAAGCCCGAGGGCTTCTGCAAATGATAATGCCCTAAAAAAGAGCGTTACCGTTATTATATCTAAAATGGATGGAATTTGTTATCAAATAAAAAGAAACAACAACATTGGTTTTGAAACACTTACTGCAATCAACACGAATCTCACTGACCACATTTTACAAATATGGAAACGTCATAGAACAAACCAGATGATGTCACTATAATACGTGACGTCATTTTCTCTACCCTATGACGTCACCTAACAACGGGCTTGATAATGGCCCGTCGTCAAGCAATATGAGGGCATTATCAAGTTACAGTGGCCCGCTCATTTCTGATAACGTGCGGGCGGTTTAATGATAATTCTATCCATTTTAGCTATAATCCCCCTTATCCTCTGAACTGGAATATAGTGATGAACCCAACAGCCATTTACAGCAAGTAGGGGTTGCTGAAGACCTATTCTACCCCGGATCTTCATGGATCTTAACATTAGCTATTCCTTTGGACTCTCTTTTAGAGTTACAAAACAATATTCATCCCCTGGCTATTTTCGTCATAATGATAAGTAAACAGAAATTAAAAAATAAACAATGAATACCACTCATAATGTTTATGTTTTTGTCAGGTTTACCAGTCATCAAACCTGAATTTATGCGAGGACCCAAGGGCAAGAAGAGGGTAAAGAAAGTCGTTGAGGAGTCGGACAGTGACGAGGAATGGATTCCAGCATCACAGAGGAAGAGTAGCAGAAGTAGGTGCTCTACAATCAGTCCTTTGGAAATATAAAATATCAGGGGTCTTAGATCAGTCAAATTCAGAAAGAATGAGTGACACGTAAAACTACAGTATTATTAATTTGCAATAGCTAATAGCTTGGTGCATAATTGACGAAATTCACTGAGAATACAAATTTTAATTATTAATAGGTGTATTATGATGACACATACTGTTGACGTTACAGTTGGCATGGAGCCCTTGTCATTTCACTAAAGTCATGTGGGTATCAACATTGAAATACAAAGTGGAAGTTATTTACAAGGCTCCCTGACCTACATTATTTCTAATGCTGTTCGTGGGTCCAAGTGTACTATCATTGAGCAATTTGGGGTTTTTAGTTTTTAATAATTTGTAACTCTTTGTCATACATTGCAGCTGTCAAGCCAGTAGCTACATTTAGGTATCCAATCAAAGAGGAGCAGAAAAAGAGAAAAGTGAAGCAGGTGAAGAAAGAACCAAGCGTCAAGGTAATACTGTAAAACTAAGCATTTGTTGTTTTCAGTGTAACATAAGTCACTTCTCAAGGCCATATAACACTGTTTCCCACACACGAGTACATCGTATTGAGTCTTGGTGCCCCCCACAGTAAGCACTATATGTGTCTGAAATACTGCTTAACTCTTTCAACACCGTAGGCCGGTTATCCGGCCAAGAAGCATCGAGTCCCCAGACACCGCAGGCCGGTTATCCGGCCAAGCCGTAGTCACGTCAAAATAGTATATATTTTTATGGACCTACCTGTAATGTCATTCATTTATTAAATCTATCACATTTCACAATGTCTGAAATACATATTCCATTTCAATTTAACAATTTTTTTCGTTAAATTAAAAAATTATTCACTATTTCTCGCGATGTTATTGAAAATAAAATTCTCGGACACACATTTCGACAACGGGTCCACATCGAACACGTCAAAGAGGAAAATAAAGAAGTTGTAAACAAATCTTTAAATATATTATACAAAGTAATAAATAAAATCAACAAAAATATATCTAAAAGTAATCAAACTTACATCTAAGTTATTATTTCCATCTTTTCGTGCGATCGCGTGTAATGTAAGTCAAATGACATCTCGGCTTTCGTCGCCTTGAATTCTCGGCTCGGACACGATGTTTAATGCAAAAATATATGCATAAAAAATCTTTGTCACAGCTCGTAACCTAGCACGATACATTCACGAAGTTCCATATTTTTAATATATATCGTGATTTCCTGCTCAAAACGTTCAGAATAACACGATTTAACAAAATTCTTTCGCAAACTTCTGTCATTTATCGAACACGAGCTTGGTATCACAGCTGTAATTTGATTGGCTGCCTTAGGTCACGTGCTCAAAATTGACCAATCACGAAACTTGTAGCAGATTTCAGCAAGAAAGCGTCATTAGAAACCAATTTTAATCCAATGAAATCGCTTGTTATAACTACGAAAAAAAACCAGTCGATGTTACGAGCGTGTAGATGAAGGAATAAGCTTTCCAGCGATGTGTCATATGCCATTCTTCGACGAACGTGTTATTCATACGAAACCTCGAAAACGGGGGTATTTCTTCATTTTACTGAGCGGACAGTCGCTGTTATCGGGAAATGGGTGATGACAGAAACTATTTATAATTCTTTTTAAAATGATTTTCCAATTACGTAAACAATGAAAATAAAACAGAAATAGGTACGTGGATATTATGAAATCATATATTTGCCGAAAATCGTCAAGTTTTCGCTTCCTTGGTCCTTAATCTGGATGTTAACAACGTGTTAGCATACATTTTTTATTTACAACGAATTTAATTAAGTTGTAAATGCATTATTTTAAATAATGTGAAAAATATAACTTTCAAATTTATAAACCATAGGATCAGACCTTTCAAATGGTGTATAACATGTAGTAGCAAATATATTTTAGAAGCAGGTATTTTCTTTGATAAATGTTGGCTTCATCTATCACACAAGAGTCTCTGGGAACTCGGTGTCCCAGCAGTAAACACTTCTGGTTGACTGGTGTTGAAAGAGTTAAGCTGCATGATACCATCATAACTAGTCATAAAGTCCTATTACCCAACTTTGATGCTGTTCTGTCCTTGCACATCAAACATTTCCCAACTCAAATCCTTGTATTAACCCCTCCTTAATTATGCAGTGTTTATCAGAATCCGTTCCATTTTAAATAAGATGAATACCATACAATCTCCCATCATTACATAGCATCCTGTTTCGAAGTGAGGTCACCACCTCCATGCTCAGAAGAGTAATATGATTGGATGAGAATTGTGCCAAACAAATTCAGCTTCCAAAAGAATCTATGGCAAATGGGTCCAGGGTATTTATCATAGTGAGTGAGTGAGTTTGGTTTTACGCCGCTTTTAGCAATATTCCAGCAATATCACGGCAGGGGACACCAGAAATGGAGATATATAATACTCTGATTAGTAGAGGGTGGTACTTAACTCTTTCAACACCGCAGGCCTGTTATCCGGCCAAGCCGTAGTCACGTCAAAATAGTATATATTTTTATGGACCTACCTGTAATATCATTCATTTATTAAATGTATCACTTTTCACAATGTCTGAAATACATATTCCATTTCAATTTAACATTTTTTATCGTTAAATTAAAAAATTATTCACTATTTCCCGCGATGTTATTGAAAATAAAATTCTCGGACACACATTTTGACAACGGGTCCACATCGAACACGTCAAAGAGGAAAATAAAGAAGTTGTAAACAAATCTTTAAATATATTATACAAAGTAATAAATAAAATCAACAAAAATATATCTAAAAGTAATCAAACTTACATCTAAGTTATTATTTCCATCTTTTCGTGCGATCGCGTGTAATGTAAGTCAAATGACATCTCGGCTTTCGTCGCCTTGAATTCTCGGCTCGGACACGATGTTTAATGCAAAAATATATGCATAAAAAATCTTTGTCACAGCTCGTAACCTAGCACGATACATTCACGAAGTTCCATATTTTTAATATATATCGTGATTTCCTGCTCAAAACGTTCAGAATAACACGATTTAACAAAATTCTTTCGCAAACTTCTGTCATTTATCGAACACGAGCTTGGTATCACAGCTGTAATTTGATTGGCTGCCTTAGGTCACGTGCTCAAAATTGACCAATCACGAAACTTGTAGCAGATTTCAGCAAGAAAGCGTCATTAGAAACCAATTTTAATCCAATGAAATCGCTTGTTATAACTACGAAAAAAAACCAGTCGATGTTACGAGCGTGTAGATGAAGGAATAAGCTTTCCAGCGATGTGTCATATGCCATTCTTCGACGAACGTGTTATTCATACGAAACCTCGAAAACGGGGGTATTTCTTCATTTTACTGAGCGGACAGTCGCTGTTATCGGGAAATGGGTGATGACAGAAACTATTTATAATTCTTTTTAAAATGATTTTCCAATTACGTAAACAATGAAAATAAAACAGAAATAGGTACGTGGATATTATGAAATCATATATTTGCCGAAAATCGTCAAGTTTTCGCTTCCTTGGTCCTTAATCTGGATGTTAACAACGTGTTAGCATACATTTTTTATTTACAACGAATTTAATTAAGTTGTAAATGCATTATTTTAAATAATGTGAAAAATATAACTTTCAAATTTATAAACCATAGGATCAGACCTTTCAAATGGTGTATAACATGTAGTAGCAAATATATTTTAGAAGCAGGTATTTTCTTTGATAAATGTTGGCTTCATCTATCACACAAGAGTCTCTGGGAACTCGGTGTCCCAGCAGTAAACACTTCTGGTTGACTGGTGTTGAAAGAGTTAAGCTGCATGATACCATCATAACTAGTCATAAAGTCCTATTACCCAACTTTGATGCTGTTCTGTCCTTGCACATCAAACATTTCCCAACTCAAATCCTTGTATTAACCCCTCCTTAATTATGCAGTGTTTATCAGAATCCGTTCCATTTTAAATAAGATGAATACCATACAATCTCCCATCATTACATAGCATCCTGTTTCGAAGTGAGGTCACCACCTCCATGCTCAGAAGAGTAATATGATTGGATGAGAATTGTGCCAAACAAATTCAGCTTCCAAAAGAATCTATGGCAAATGGGTCCAGGGTATTTATCATAGTGAGTGAGTGAGTTTGGTTTTACGCCGCTTTTAGCAATATTCCAGCAATATCACGGCAGGGGACACCAGAAATGGAGATATATAATACTCTGATTATTAGAGGGTGGTACTTAACTCTTTCAACACCGCAGGCCTGTTATCCGGCCAAGCCGTAGTCACGTCAAAATAGTATATATTTTTATGGACCTACCTGTAATATCATTCATTTATTAAATGTATCACTTTTCACAATGTCTGAAATACATATTCCATTTCAATTTAACATTTTTTATCGTTAAATTAAAAAATTATTCACTATTTCCCGCGATGTTATTGAAAATAAAATTCTCGGACACACATTTTGACAACGGGTCCACATCGAACACGTCAAAGAGGAAAATAAAGAAGTTGTAAACAAATCTTTAAATATATTATACAAAGTAATAAATAAAATCAACAAAAATATATCTAAAAGTAATCAAACTTACCTTATGTTATTATTTCCATCTTTTCGTGCGATCGCGTGTAATGTAAGTCAAATGACATCTCGGCTTTCGTCGCCTTGAATTCTCGGCTCGGACACGATATTTAATGCAAAAATATATGCATGAAATATCTTTGTCACAGCTCGTAACCTAGCACGATACATTCATGAAGTTCCATATTTTTAATATATATCATGATTTCCTGCTTAAAACGTTCAGAATAACACAATTAAACAAAAATCTTTCGCCAACTTGTGAAATTTATCAAACACGAGCTTTGTATCACAGCTCTAATTTGATTGGCTGCCGTAGGTCACGTGCTGAGCGGACAGTCGCTGTTATCGGGAAATGGGTGATGACAGAAACTATTTATAATTCTTTTTAAAATGATTTTCCAATTACGTAAACAATGAAAATAAAACAGAAATAGGTACGTGGATATTATGAAATCATATATTTGCCGAAAATCGTCAAGTTTTCGCTTCCTTGGTCCTTAATCTGGATGTTAACAACGTGCTAGCGTACATTTTTTATTTACAACGAATTTAATTAAGTTGTAAATGCATTATTTTAAATAATGTGAAAAACATAACTTTCATATTTATAAACCATAGGATCAGACCTTTCAAATGGTGTATAACATGTAGTAGCAAATATATTTTAGAAGCAGGTATTTTCTGTGATAAATGTTGGCTTCATCTATCACACAAGAGTCTCTGGGAACTCGGTGTCCCAGCAGTAAACACTTCTGGTTGACTGGTGTTGAAAGAGTTAATAGCCACATTTCACTATTTCAGCTTCCTGAGAACATACCTGTTGAGTACAAGTGCCTTGTCCATTTCAGATAGTTGCAAGATAGATCACAAATGCGAATGTGGACAATAAGTTTTATCCTTAACTGTCTGAGAGTTCAGGTGATGTAGTAATAACAGTATAACCTAATGTTGCAGAGAACAGCGAAACCAACAGCCACTGAGACTGTCAGCTGCCCCTACCCCCTCCGACAGAGACCTGACACAAACTACATGATGATGGAAGGCCCTGATGATGACCATTTTCTGTGTAAGTTTGATCTGGAGCATAATTAACTGTTATTTCCCTGTGTTGTGGGTATAAGAAACATTTGTAGTTTGCTCTCTAATCACCTGAATAACTGTAAAACCATTATCTTAGTATTTACAATGTCTGTGTGATACTACATCCCAAGTTATGGCGTGAGTAATTGAGATAAACATGACTGTCCCAAAACGGATGATGTCTGGAAGCCTATGATCCAAGTTATATATTTTCTAGGGCGGGAACGTTACACCAACTGTGCAATCGGATATGTATCATGATATCTTATTCATGATGCGATACATGTTTCGAAAGGTTTTGGTTAAATTGTGTTAATCTGAACGTTTTCAATATGAAATTTAACATACATAAGGATGGTATCCATTGCTGTCATCGATTGGCTGCCTTAGGTCTTGTGCTTAGAAATTGACCAATCACGATCCTTGCAGCAGATTACAACGATCATTAATCCACCATGAGGTCCACACTTCAGTGATGCATGAGAACAGGAGATTAAGTATGTCCAGAAAAGACTTAAGGTAATTTGGGGAGATCAATCAGTCACTGAGGCTGTACTTCAAACAGTATTTGCTAAAATTGAAGGCATTTTAAACTCTAAACCATTAAGGTATGTGTCTAGTGACGTGCGTGACATAGATCCTGTTACTCCAAATGTACTGCTGATCAGATGCCAGGATCAATCCCTTTCACCGGTGCCAGTGAAATCTTAGGATGGCGCAGATGGCGTCATGGTCAAATCCTTGCAGATCAGTATTGGAAGCACTATTTGAGACGTTATTTGCCAGACTTGCAGTTAATAATCAAATGGGTTTCTGTTTTGAAAGATCAGAAAGACATTGACTGTATGTTGTGATGATAGTTGACCAACAAAGTATGCATGCCACCTGGTTAGTCGGAAGAGTTTCAAAATCCCATCCCAGTAGTGAAGGTAGAGTTTGTGTTGCTACAGTAACTGTGGGTGACCACTGACATTACGCGATCAGTCACACAACTGATCAGACTCTCACTCTTAGACTGCCCAGATGATGACTGATTATCTGTGCCATTGATACTTTTAGTATTCTATTGCCAATGACTGACCTTGTTTTAGTGCCATTGAACAGTACAGACATCATAGCCAAGGACCAACCTGTAGGTCCTGTGACCAAATCATGGTAACAAAGGTTTGAAAGTGTTTTTGAGTTTCCTGCTGTATACTGTACAATTTTGACTTGGGCTGCCCGGTTGAAAATCCTGGTAATTTTTGGGAAGGGTCAACAAAGGTCAAACAGGGGTCAAAATACAAAATTGTGTCGATATGCATATCAAATTACTCGTCCAGTCATAAGGAACCTAGAAATAAATAGTTTGTTATACTTGACCTGAAATGGGGGAGCTATGGCTAAAAACGTTGAAAGGTCAACGCACTTTTGGCAGTCAATGAAATTCACAAACACTGTTAACATTGTCCGATAGTCATGATTTTAGTGTCTAATAATATGTTTTCTGACATGACAAATTCAACCAAGCTACTTTTAAAAGTAAAAAGGGTTACCTTGACCTTGAAAATCGAAAATGGTGGAATTGGCTGCACGAAGAATTGTCATGCTTCAGCAAAGTCATTGGAAACAGGATCCTTGGCCAATAACGAAGCATATTCACAGCTAGCACTGCCTGAACATCTGAGTGATGCCAGAGCAAACTGCTCTGTAGAATTGGACACAGATTCAGATACTAGTGATTCTGATGAGTATGGCACAGAGTAGGATGATGAACTGTGTACTAAAGTAAGGTTAAAAAAGCATTTCTGGACAATGGATTCTGAAATATGCTGTGTTATTGGCCAAGGATCCTGTAATCGAACTCTGGTATACTGAAAATAATAAGCACCAATCCAGGGACATGTTCCAAGTAAATGTCAGCAACATTAGCACCATTCCAGGAAGTGGTTACAACTAAATGCCACTATCTTAGCTCCATTCCAGGAACCAACTTACCGTATATGACCGCGGATAAGCCGACCCCGTAGATAAGCCGAGGTGTTAACTTGACCATTGAAATACGAAAGAAAATGGTATGACCCGCAGATAAGCCGAACCAGGAATTGAAAGGCAAAAAACACTGCGAAGTCGGACTGCAAGACATATGCCGGTACTCGCAGATATTCAAAAATATAAGATGAGAAACGTTGTAATTATATTGAAAAAGTCGTTATTATTTCTAATGAAGATTTAACAAACCAGTCATCCACTTTCATAATGTGGGAAGCTGTTTCTCGTGGGTTTTTTTAATCTCATAATGATCGTTATATGTTGCCATCAACAACGAAGCGCCATTTTGTGAATCGGTGTATATAGAATTATGAACCCGTGAGAAAATATATCGGCTAGAGCGAAGACTCGCAGTTTGAATTCAGCATCGTAAGCATGTCGTTTTCGTTTCAAACTCATGATGAGAATGTCCAATGTCAGTAAAAATATACCAACTTTTAAAACCCCCTTTACACCACTATTGTATTTTAATCCAATTGAATTAAATAAACTATCATACTATGAACACATTGAATGACCATCACTTACTCACAGGCTTCTCCAGTTTATTAAACTAATCTCTCGAAAACAAAGGAATTAAGCCCCTACTCCCAACACGATCGCTAAGCACCAACAAATTGAAAATGTTTGTGTAAACAACATGACAATACCAATCGGCCCGTTATTATCAATGTTCATTTCCTTGTGTACCATGTTGCTTTAAACAACAGGAAGCAATCACAGTGGTCACCGTTTGTGACGTCACAGGAAACAGCTGATCACATGTTTTTGCAAATGGCGAACGGAATAACTCGCCGATACAGTTGTTTATTTGCCTCTTTCAATAAAGGTAGACACTTGTTCACTATCAATTTATGAACTTTGCAAAACGTACGTAATAGCTATTGGCGATTTCATCTGGGGATTATATATTATTGCTGTGAATTACATATATTGTTACATGTAAAGATCGCGGAGTTTACGAAGAACGATAAACTTTGAACATTCAATTGAAAACTTATTATCGGAAGTAGTAACATGCATAACATTTTTTTAATAATGACAACATTGGTGTATAATAATAACTTTATTGATAATTTATAACAATAATGGCTCTAGTCGTGGCAACTTCCAAACTTTCGGGAAGTTGTGATCTAACGGACCGTCATTCAGGCGATGTTTTTGACAGATCACGATCTGAAAAATACTATCATGAAAGTGTATCCCGTGTATAAGCCGACCCCTTTCTACAGAATCTTTTTTCTGGTCCTCAAAATTCGGCTTATACGCGGTCATATACGGTAAACTAAATTGATGTTATCAAAGCACAAATTAAACTTCCCATTGCCATGTCACACGTTGAGGTTACAGAACAACTCCCAGCATTCTTGAGTGACATAAAAACAAAAAAAGGTCTAAATGGGAAGGTTTTTTTTCTGAAACATGAAATGTAAAGCTACAACAAACCTTAAAGGTATCATCACTAACTGTGCAAGAACATTTAACTGATGTCCAGAAAGCAAAAATACACTTAGCAAGGCCAACAGAGATGAATAAGAACACGGAACTTAAAATGAGTTCATGATATGATTCCACTCATGAATCACTTGTCTGTTGGCGTCATGAACTTCAACTTTTTCCTTTGCTAATTCTGGTTTCTTTGTGGAAGCCTTTGTTGAAGGCCATTCGATTTTGTTTGATGGATATCTAGGAGGAGATGACATGCAAGCACCAGCTCATCGTGGACGAATGGATATTGTAGTAAAGGGCTCACTGAAGGAGGTTTTATATTTCAAACTGTACAGATCATCTTTTGTGAACTTCATGGATTTCACTTTTGTAAAGGGTACCGGTTTCAGGTTCAGCTGACTCCAGATAGTTTTTGAAGTTGGACTCCTTCATCTGAATTATATGCATTGGTGCCTTACTCCAGGCCCTTTTTAGGCATTTCATAATACCCGAAGGGCTGAATGTGTCATGACTACTCAGTTGTTTTTCAATTCTACTGTGGATACTGTCCACTTCCTGAATTGAGGAATGTCCTGGTTCACAATACTTGTGTTCAATTGACTCAATCCAATGATGACGCATAAAATCTTTCAGAGCAAACGACATTCCAGAATTTTTATTTTGAGCAACACATGAATCTGACCAAAGGACAAGATGCCTTGGGTGATGTTCTGATTCTATTTTCTCAAGGCTCGCAATCAGTGAACTAGCCAGTTCATTTGCACCTCTGCCAGCTTGCTTCTCATTCCATATGGCACAATAGGCTGATGAATCAATAGAACAATGAGCAGTTATGTTGTAGACGCTGATTTTGGGTCTGTAAAAAAAACTGGAAATAAGGGCTCTGGGACAAGAAATCACATTTTCGAGATCAAAGCAAACCACAGCAGTTTTGTTTTGACAGTCCTTGTCTCGTTCTGTTCTGGTAGCCACCTTTGAGGCCAAGTGTTGAGTGTGTCTTGCTGTGAGCTCCTCATCAACAAGATTAAACTCTTCCTTGATGCTATACTCTTCACATTTGTCACACCTATCCTTTTTAGGTGAATGAAATCCAAGATTGAATTCTGTATTAAAAATAGTTCGATAGATGTGATCTTTCACTGGTATGTTCACATTTTTCCAGGTACAGTCTGTACATCTGTGTTTTTGCGAGAGATCCTTTTCAAGGTATTCTCGTTATGTTGATGCTCGGCAGTGGTGAGATTACACTCTTGGAAAGGAACTGATATGAAATCTCACAAAGTCCTTCGACTCTTGAGGCACGCGGTCTTTAGTTAGTTTACCTCTCATATCACCCTGATTTGGAGTAGAACTCAAAGAATCATGTTTAACTTCAAAGTAAAAGGAAATTCTTCTCTGCGATATGTTTAGTGTAGAGAGATAGTACTCCTTACAGACGTGAGTCTGGCTTTCACTTATATTGAAAAAGTAGGCATAGGAGTACATTCTCCTGCTTTGCTCTTTACTCCGCTGTCTCTTCTTGACCATTCTGTCAACTGTTTTGTTGTAAAAGTGGTTCTTCTCGCCGTCTGTAAGAGACCAAAATGACTCAAATAGATTCTTCCTCTCAGTAACTGATATTTTCCTTGCACACTTGTATTTGCACGTCCCAATACAATCTTTCTTTGTTTTCACACTTCGCTCAGACTACCTTTGAAGGTTTTTTTTGTTCAAACGGCTTTTGAGATGACCCCCATATACGGTGCACATGCTTGTTCATTACCTGGCTGTTCCATGAGCGACTGGTCCTCCCTGGTATCAGAGTTGGTCTGTCCACTTCATGTCACTGGGCACATTTTGGTTTTGTTGCAATTATTAGATTTTGAGTTAGTGAGCAATTCATTGGTCTCAAATGGAATCAAATGGACTGTAGTGTTCGTTTTAAATTGAGAGATAGCACAATGCTATTATGTGAAAAATCGCATTTCTCCTCATACTAATTACTTGAAACTTCTTCAAGACATAGAACAAAGCCTTCTGAGTGATTCTAGAACCTTAAGTCAATTTTGACCAAAAGTGGAGATAGAACAACCTGGTTCTCATTGGATAAAATTGTGAATAGATGTGCATAGATCATAGATGTGCATCACTGATATTTATTTATGGTTGGATGTAAACATAGTTAATGTAGTCATAATACCAAAAGAACTTTTAAAAGTGAGAATAATACTTTTTAAATTTCGTTTTATTCTAGGTTTTATATTTTGTATCTTTGAATCCCATGTTATATGTCAGATATATTGTCTGATATCTGTGTTGTTACACTAACATCTGCGGATCATCTGTTCTAGTATGACACTTGATAGACTGCTGTACTGTACAATTGTGTTACTTACTAATATGATGTATGTCAGATATATTGTCATTGTTACACTAACATCTGCGGATCATCTGTTCTAGTATGACACTTGATAGACTGCTCTACTGTTCAATTGTGTTACTTACTAATATGATGTATGTCAGATATATTGTCATTGTTACACTAACATCTGCGGATCATCTGTTCTAGTATGACACTTGATAGACTGCTGTACTGTACAATTGTGTTACTTACTAATATGATGTATGTCAGATATATTGTCATTGTTACACTAACATCTGCGGATCATCTGTTCTAGTATGACACTTGATAGACTGCTCTACTGTACAATTGTGTTACTTACTAATATGATGTATGTCTGATATATTGTCATTGTTACACTAACATCTGCGGATCATCTGTTCTAGTATGACACTTGATAGACTGCTGTACTGTACAATTGTGTTACTTACTAATATGATGTATGTCAGATATATTGTCATTGTTACACTAACATCTGCGGATCATCTGTTCTAGTATGACACTTGATAGACTGCTCTACTGTACAATTGTGTTACTTACTAATATGATGTATGTCAGATATATTGTCATTGTTACACTAACATCTGCGGATCATCTGTTCTAGTATGACACTTGATAGACTGCTGTACTGTACAATTGTGTTACTTACTAATATGATGTATGTCAGATATATTGTCATTGTTACACTAACATCTGCGGATCATCTGTTCTAGTATGACACTTGATAGACTGCTGTAAAGTACAATTGTGTTACTTACTAATATGATGTATGTCAGATATATTGTCATTGTTACGCTAACATCTGCGGATCATCTGTTCTAGTATGACACTTGATAGACTGCTCTACTGTACAATTGTGTTACTTACTAATATGATGTATGTCAGATATATTGTCATTGTTACGCTAACATCTGCGGATCATCTGTTCTAGTATGACACTTGATAGACTGCTCTACTGTACAATTGTGTTACTTACTAATATGATGTATGTCAGATATATTGTCATTGTTACACCAATGTGGATCATCAGTTCTAGTATGACTGCTCTACTGTACAATTGTGTTCCAGACTGTGAAGAATGCAACAAGGAGTATGAGGGTGACTGTCCTGTTCATGGACCTCTACTCGTCGTCATGGACTCCCAGGTATGTACAATGAAGTCTAGATAATTTCTAATGCAACAGGATTGCAAGCATATTGCTGTTTTCACTTGTTTGGAAATATGATCTGCTACATTATATTATTTGTCATTTACGTAATTTGAGTCAGAGTTTCACAGAATTGTTTGTATGAGTCAAAAGATTTTTTTTCAAAGTCATGTAATATTGCAAGAAAATGTTATTTCTTTTAAACTGAGTATCTTCACCAGGCCTTTAAAAAATGATTTTGTATTGCAGCAATAAATTTATATTAACTGACTCATTTAGTGCTTGTTGTCGACTGCTTTTCATTTTGATTGACAGTTTTTTATCTTGTCGCATGACATACTAATCACGCACATTTAAATATTTTTTATGTAAAGTAAATGTGAATGTTATTCATGATTTATGTCATATTCAGCTTTAATGCTGGACGAGAGGCCAGTCACAAGGGTTACAACTTAACACTAGCACGGGGCTAGTACAAATTTTCAAGATTTCCGCATTGTTTCAACATTACAAAGGAAGTTTATCTTTACCTGAGCTAGTAAAGCTTTTGAGTTTAGTTCTATCCTTCCCAGTCAGTGGTTGCGAAACAGATGTTCATAAGCGTATGAGTGCCACATTTTGACTTTCTTACATATTTTTCACTAGATTCTTGATATGACTTTTTACTTCCACATTCATAGGGATAACCCAACTTAATACAGAAGCGTCGTTTCTGATCATTTAGACCCTTTTCGTAAGTTTGAACTCTGGGTTTTAGCATACATTGGGGAAAGTGAGAGTGTTTGGCTGCATGCCCATGTAGGAATATCAGGGTTAGAACTAAACTAAAAAGATTTTCTTGCCAGGGTAAAGATCCAGTGCCCTTGTAATGTTACTGTAAGCAAGGATTATATCCTACCTAAATATTATCCCGTGGGAACTATAGTATCCTACCTTAGTTGTCTTTAAATGTCAATGATTGGCCAATTGGTAAATGATGACTAACACTTGTTATAGCCACAGGTTCATCAACTACTTCTGAAATCTCTCCAGTCACAGTGATTGTATGGGCTATTTTGATTCCCGGTACTTTATGTAAATTATGAGGTAATGTGAAGTGGGGTATAACGTCACATCCAAGATTATTGCACTTTTATGGCGACATTCATGTACGTGTGTGTTTGGCTGCTTGTAGTTGTACTAGTCTGGTCAAATGCCGACTTTATTGTGTTAGCCCACTGAGATACAATGCTGCATTAACACCCCACTCAGACACAGTATACTGACTCCGAGCTGACCAGTCCTTGTTTTAGCCCCTTAATGGTGAGCAACAGTACCATATCTTATGGAAACAATTGGGACTTACGCCTTAGTCTCAAAAGGGTGGGGGAGGTGTCATCCAAACCTTGTAAATGTATTAACCAAGGGCTAAAGTGGTGCTTTTTTGCTATTTAGGAAGTTTTCAGAATTTGATTTTCACCTGTTTCCATGTAAACAAGTTGGACAGCTGAAACGGAGATAGGTGTCGTTTCCCGAGCAGAACTAAAAATCTATTCAACATTTTTCATCCAGAAGTGGTGCCTTTTGCTATTAAGGAATTTTAAAATATTCATTTTTCCTGTTTCCATTGCAACACGTTTTACTTTGAATCTGTTCATAGTGGTGTGTTTGTCCGGACCATATCTCTAAAAGTAATAGGTATTCTTACTTGAAACTGTGCACACACAAAGACCAAGTTTGCTACTTAGATGTGTTTAGAATTTAAATGTTTTCCGTTTCCAATTTAACAAGTTTGATTTTGACTTTGTTCATAGTGGTGTGTATCTGACATAGAAATACAAACTTCTGAATCCCAATTCCATGGTATTGTTTTGATAGCTCAATAACTATTCTTGTATACAGGTCTTAGAACTGTGACATCCATCACTATGATGTCACAATCGGCACTCACAAACTATGGAGCCCCTCCAATGCCCACACTGCCCGAAATACTACTCACGACGGGACGGGCTCAAAAGACACATAAGAAGCGTCCATAGCTCCGACAGGTTCATTTGTGTGTCATGTAATAAATCCTACAAACGACAGGATGATTTTAAAAATCACCATAACCACCATGGAATATGCCCTGCCCACAAAGCAGATACCATCGATATCACCGCTACTATGAGCCTGAGGGACGGCCCACCAAGGCCAGAAATCCCAGCCCCACTGGGAGAAGGACGGCCGGGCGCACTAACACATAGTGCGCATAACGTTACCGGCAAGCCAGCACATGGCCCAACCACAAGCACGTCACAATCTCCAGATTCCTACAGGGACACACCACTGGAATCACCGCCATACAGCTGATACTCACTCCACCATTCACCAAATGGACGGAGTACCTAAATGACCCAAGTGTCAACTTGGACACCGAAATTTGGTCTGTTTACAGGCCACAGAATAGGGAAGATATGGCAAAGCCATCTTTCACTAATAATAGACCAAATGTGCCAAACATTCGGCCTAATGGACCTATTGATAAATAATAATTGGGTTCATATTATAAAAGGTTTGTTCTGTTTTACGGTCCATTGACCCTTGGTAGACTCCGGAATTTAAACTGGGACCACATCCAGTCCCGGGAAATATACATAAAATAAACCTCATGCATTCTGGCCGACAACGACAACTGTGATATTAATATATAACACACAACAATAAATCTCGAAAACTTAGAATTTATTGAAGCGATCGTAAAACCATGACCACCGGCAACCCATCTGTGCTCATGTCGCCACCACCGGTCCACCGGCACACCGACCCATCGGTCCACCGGTCCTGAGTAAATCACTCACGATCCACCTGTGACAATTAGGTCCACCGGCACACTCCTGTCGTTAGATTACACCGGTACTGCATCTGGAACACAAAGTGTATATAAGGAGCCCCCCCACCCCATATACAACAGTCTGATGAGAGCACCCGCTCGAAACTAGTCACTTAGATTGCTCTTGGGTTTTAGCCCAAAACTCTCTATATTTACACATCTCTCTAACACCCAAGAGTAATGGCTAAATTACTCCGTCTTCCTCCTTCAGCAGCCTAGAAAGCCGCTCTATTACTACGGTGGTTCAAGTAGAACCATCAAGTAAAAGGAAGAGGGTTGAATTTGGAACCACAGAATCCAAATCAACCGATAACATCGCAAAAGCGGTGGATTTACCCGACAATCTAGTCGGCCCATATAAGACATATAGGAATCTCACGAGCAAAATCGCCCGTAACAATAGGCAACTGGAATTTACAATTGCATGTAAAGAGAAAAGTCTGATCCCTAGGTCGTTTAGACCATTTATCCTACAACACCAAACCAATTACAATCAAGAATTGGCCAGAATTAGAAGTGAGGCGGCAAAATCACACGCCTTAAAATTAATGGAAACACACATTTCCCAATTACAAGTCAACATATGTGAGCTTAGAGACCTAGCCACTATGGAGAAAAACAAACTCCAAAAGAATGCTGACAAAACCCCACTGGACACTATACTTGCTGCGTGCCACACGATCTCCACCCGGGAATCTACAAACTGGCACACGATTTAATGAACTCAAAACCGAGTTCAACGAGAGGAACCCATACGATCCCAAACTATTCATGGAACCAACCATCACCCCACGTAACCCAACAGGGGGACCGCGCTGCCAAGAGCCCAGAAACGTCAGGCCTCTGAACCGGTTCAATAACAAATCAAGACAGACCTTCAAAAGGAAGACCCAGAACCAGTTAGGAAATTTCCATATGAAAAAAGTCCTAAGGCAGCTTGCCAATGCCCTCAATGTGAGCGGCAACAATAATACAGACATTAGCAATGAATTTTCATATTTGAATCTCAACAATAATAGTTCAAATAAAAATCCTGAACCTTACAAAAATGCCTTTGTTGTGAATCTATCTGATTATCAATTTAATGAGACAGAACTTAGTGTTCTTAGCAAGGGTCTTACCTTTAGCCCTACACCGTTAGATACGGATCTTAGCAAAATATATACAGATCTTAAAGCCTCTGGAGCACAGATACAGGTGATAATTTCAACGATCTAGAGCGTAAATTTGGCCCACGAAGCACCTGGACCCCAAATCCGGGCATAGACCCGACGCTTGATGCCTTTATCAAATCAGTTAAACACCAGTTTCTCAAAATGAACACCATCCCGTTCATACACAACAATCTCACATGTGCACAGAGAACTGCCATCAATAGTCTCAAAAACTACACAGAAATCGTGATAAAAAAAGCCGATAAGGGATCGGCAGTCGTTATTCTCAACACTACTGATTACATACAAGAGGCCACACGTCAACTCACTGACACAAACTTTTATCTCAAGGTTAGCTCTACGATAAAAAAAATCCTGGCACCTACTTCTAGGATCAGACACCTGCAAAGACACCTTCCGAGTCCCACACATCACGGCATACAGGAAGAACCGCACACTCAGAGATATCCTCATGAGAGCGGCAATCACCTATCCGCCACCCAAACCACAAATCAGTGGCCGAACTGTGCCCAACTTAGATGACAGCTGTCACAAACAATCATGCAAAATCAGCATAAATATCAAATCGGTCAACGCCTTCGACAGCCACACAACAGGCAAAAAATCCACAAAAGCAGAAACATAATCTACCTGCTCAGTTGCATTAAATGTGGTAAACAATACGTAGGTGAGACCAAACGACACTTCTGCACTAGACTCAAAGAACACTTTGCAGATATAAACCACCAAAGGGACAAACCTGTCGCCAAACACTTCAATTCCGTAGGAGACTCAACCAGAGACCTACACTATCAAATCATACAACAGCTCAGAGCACGGCTAGACGCCGGTCCATTGAACTAAAATGGATATTTGATCTGAAAACCATCCGACCGCAGGGCATGAATGATAAGATCTAATCCTGGAATTCCCAAACCCACTTACCTATATTCTATTCTTGTATACAGACAGACAGATTAGATAGAAATTCTCTCATCAAGTTGGACTTAAAGTAACAGTCGGATGATTTGTTCTTTAGAATTTGTTCGGCTGGAGGGATTTGTCATCTTCTGATGACTCTTGTTTGCCCTGGCAGCATCTTCACCATTGAGACTGATGGACTGAGGATGAAGCACCCCACTCTAATAAGCGCTCACAGCAATATTTGCTAATATATTGGCTAGTGATCAATCCTAATTAGCACTCCTTCAGATTGATCAATATACGCAAGACTTATTTATTCGTGTATAATACGCACTCGTGTGTTATATGCACCCTTAATTATGGGCAATTAAATTCCGGGAAATATATCTGTCGTGTATGATACGCACATACTTTTCTTTTGTATCATTTCAGGCTGTCAGCATAAACTACCAAATTTACAATCTTTCAACTCTGTTTTTTTATTTCTTACCAAAATTATATTCTAATAAGAGCCCCCTATTTCTAATTTTGAGAGCGCCTGTAGAGCTATCAAATCCTGCCCTGGGCGCTTGTTACGTCGAACACGATATGTTTCTTCTTAACAAGTCGATGTTGCCAAAACAAGCCAAATCTGTTTAACAGTTTTAGATCCTTTATTTTGGAACAGTTTTTTTTATTAATTGTTGGAGCAATGTACATGATCTGTGAAGTAGTGAACTTGTTTTTTACCCAAAGGGATCTTCACTATTGCAGTAGTCTCCTTGTTTCTGTATGCAGGTATCGTCACCAAGCAAGAAGGGTGAACGAGCTGAAAAGACACTGCCACCAGGTCTGGAGATAAGATCTTCCACAATCCCTAATGCAGGCCTGGGGGTGTTTGCCATCGCTGACTTCCCCACACGCACAAGGTTTGGTCCGTACGAGGGAGACAACATCAAAGATGCTGATGTGGCTCACAACTCTGGATACTGCTGGCAGGTGCTGAACATTGTGCAATAGCTGGTGAAATTCATAAGACTTGTATAGTCACGATATGGCTGAAATATTGCCGATGTGACTATAAACCATAACTCACTCACTCATAAGACTTGTGGAAAGGACTAAATTGAGGAAGTTTGAGCCATATGAATAATTTCAAGAAAATTTACATGTGATGTGAATGACAAGCATAGCACTGAGCTATTGCACTGCAGTTGTTTTGAATATTTTGATGTGAAAACGGTAAATCGGATATGAAAAGCTTTCAGTAAGGGGAATAATGGGTCCAAGAATTTTCACACTACAAACAAGTGGGGACAACTGTGACTTGTTATTATAAACAATCAAGTATTGCAGATTAAAAGCAAAGGTCATATACCCTGTGTAAGAGTTTATGGGTATTGAAATACTAGAGCACTGAACAGAACTTAAGTTTGCAAAAACGAAATAAGACAAATACTATATTGACAATTGATCAATATTGTATTCAGCGTTTTAGGTGACCTTGGCTTGTAAATATAGAGTAGACACAATTTATGGATAACAACTTTTATAATACTGTAAAGGGGGCATTTCGGTATAGATCCTTATACTGTTGTCAAGCAAAACTAAATGAGGATTGGAATGGGATTAAGGGTTTCGTCCATTTCAAAGTTAATGTATTTCGTGGACAACTAAATGAGGAACATTGCACAAAATATACATAGTAGGTGGAGGATTAACAGCAACAACAATTGCATACATGCGTGGGCTAACATGAGTAAGTTAGGACAACAGAAGGATAATACTGTCACAACATGATGGACAGAGAACACAGGAGGAAACCGATGGTGATTATTGCTTAATAAGTTCATAGTAGGTGGATGGGATGAAATAGCCTTGATCTCTGTTGATTGTTTGATGGCTTGTGGCGGTGAATGTGGACTGCTTCTGTTAGTTTTCTTTTAGTGAAGTCATGGAGGTTGTTGGAGAGGGTTTTGACATTGTTCCAGTTTATGACTTGTAAATATAGTTTAGAAAGGTGGCACTTCTTCAGCATTAGGATAGTTGGATATATCTTGCAACAATCGTGGAATTGTGATCACCAATAAAAATGTAATCCTTTTTTAACCGTTCACTAGTCCTTAAAACTTTCAGAATTAATATTGTGACTTGAAAGATTTTCAATGGGAGGGTCAGGTGGGCTTATGTGATACAACTGTAAAATGATTTTCCAAAATAGATAACGCAATTTGAGCATTGGGATAAACTCTTGATAGTCTCCTATTTTTAACAATTATCAATAGTTTTTGTTATGACTTACAAATATATTTTTCACGAAATTGTGGGTGCTGCTGACATGAAACTATGCATCTTCAGGTAGTCAGCTAATAAGGATGGCTTCCTTTATGATTTTAATTTCTTATCTTTTTCATTTAATTTTCATTTAGTTGAACCTTTAATATTTGTTAATAGCAACACTTGTTAATGTCTTCAGCAACCCATGCTTGCCGTAAAAGGCGACTATGCTTGTCGTAAAAGGCGACTTACAGGATCGGGTGGTCAGGCTCGGTGACTTGATTGATGCATGTCATCGATCCCAATTGCGTGGATCGATGCTCATGATGTCAATCACTGGATTGTCTGTTATTTACAAACCGCCGTCATTAAGCTGGAATATTGCTGAGTGCGGCGTTAAACAACACACAAACAAACAAAACAAAACTTGTTAATGTCAGAATTGTTGTGTACTTCGATGTCAGTTGGCTGAAACAGAGAACAAGAAGAGATTTGTGGACAGCTGGATATTTCAAAATGCCAGCTGCATTTGCTTATACTTGTCCTTAGAGATCTATTAGCTAATGGCTGACAGAGTCAAGCTGTTGCACCTTGTTATTTAAACTTTCCTGCACCCACCAATTTGATTTTATTACTAGCCAGCTAGCCAACTATGCTTGTCGCAAGAGGCGACTAACGGGATCCGGGGGGTCAGGCCCGCTGACTTGGATGATGCATGTCATCTTGTCCCAATTGCATGTATCGATGCTCATGATATCAATCACTGGATTGTCTTGTCCAGACTCGATTATTTACAGACCGCCGTCATATAGCTTGACTATTGCTGAGTGCGGCGTTAAACAACAAACAAACAACAAACCATAAACTTACATGCTTGTATGATGTTAATTCATTTGTCATCTTGTTTCGTGCCTATGTAATCTCCCCTCGTACATTGCGATCATGTATGGTGTTGATTAATATCGCAGTCCCAGCTGAATTTAGCAGCCATAAGATCACTATTCTGGATGTTATCTTTTATCAATTCTTCAACCCATTTTCATTCTGCACAAATTTCTCTGAAGCTGTTCTTTATGAATTAACTTGACATTATTAATAATTATTCTACCATGAATTTGGAATTTACTCGATTCTGATTGGTCAATCAGAGGCTATTAAATCACAATAAACCCCCTCTGATTGAAACAGCTGATTTGACGGCCGCATCACCGCGGAAGCATATAGTCATAGAATAGTACTATTTTCAGTCATTGTCGGTAGGCATATTTAAATAACTATATCTACAATTACAGGTTAAAAAATGCACAGATGCGGTTACTACAATATTCAAAGGATGTGTGGCAATACCTTTCGTGCATAAAAACACGACAGAAATCAACAAATGGAATGTATTTACGTTTTGGAGACAACAGAGAGCTTGAAATTTTGGCGCTTTTCTATATACGACTGTGACGTCATATCTTTTGCGTCACAATGAGCGATATGACATCATAATGGTGACGCGCGATGTAGAGCGAAAGCCTTGCAAAGCTTGCTTTTTTTTCTTTAGGGATGCCCACCTCATGTTAGCTTACCAAGTTGCCATGCTTATATGCTTTCAATGCCTGTCATATGTTCGAGTGAAGTATTACAATGTAAACAAACTGTTTGAGTATATACAGCACTATATTTTGTTCGGTGATTCCATAATTCAGATCGATAACCCACTCAAAACACTGAACTCAACCCATGCCGCTTCACTCAGTATATTTGCTAACACCAAAGAGTTCGCGTTTTATTTAGTCTTGGTAGAATGGAGATAAACATACTGTGTTTTCAATGTAGAGCTAGGTTACCTGTAGATTTAACTGCGCTAAATTTAACATTTGAAACCTTAGGCTGCGCGTTCGGTTCCAAATTCAATTTAGCGGGGTTAAATCTACAGGTAATCTAGCTCTACATTGAAAACACTATGTTTATCTCCTAATTATTATGAACTGACAGTTACAGCCGCCGTAGAAATTGGCACTATAAGTCTGAGACTGAGATGTCCCTCGGGTAGTGGTAGGCAAACACTGTGTTTTCCAGATACAATCTGCCAATATTGATGATAATGTATGGTTGCTATGTAGAGCAATGGTCAACGTTACTGCCCTGCCCTTGTTTCACGCAGGTTGTAGGCCACCAGTGGTGGTAATCCTGCAAAAGGAGTAGACTTGTAAGATTACATTTTCATGTGGAACGTTGAAAGTCTTGACTTGAAGAGGTTCATGCACTGGTTTCAACAGTCTTTCATACTGCACTGGCCACGGCACTCAGTCATGCTTTCAGCTAATGACAGTCACAGTATAAGGAGTGAGTGTCTGTTAGCCGCCTTTTACGACAGGCATAGTCACCTTTCACGGCAAGCATGGGTTGCTGAAGACCTACTCTATCCCGGAATCTTCACGGGTCCATTATCCATATTAACCTCTCTGTTTAGTGTTATGAGACTTAAAAAAACCAAAGTATTATTCAATTCATACCAAGGCGATGAGAAAGAGAATGAGTTTGCTGTGAACGTTGTGTGATCAAGTCGTGCTGGAATCAGGTGGTGCATGACCCATTGTTTATGGTGGTGGACATGGTGAAGATAGGGATGTGTTTGGGTCAGGTGTTGTTTTAAAATTGTGATTTTAGGCAATATGGGTACATTTCTGAATCAAGAGTACAAATCAGCAAAATATTCTGTGACGGGACTGATTTGTCATGGTGTTTCAGGTCTGTGTGGACTGATTTGTCATGGTGTTTCAGGTCTGTGTGGACTGATTTGTCATGATGTTTCAGGTCTGTGTGGACTGATTTGTCATGGTGTTTCAGGTCTGTGTGGACTGATTTGTCATGGTGTTTCCAGTCTGTGTGGACTGATTTGTCATGGTGTTTCAGGTCTGTGGACTGATTTGTCATGGTGTTTCAGGTCTGTGTGGACTGATTTGTCATGATGTTTCAGGTCTGTGTGGACTGATTTGTCATGGTGTTTCAGGTCTGTGTGGACTGATTTGTCATGATGTTTCAGGTCTGTGTGGACTGATTTGTCATGGTGTTTCAGGTCTGTGTGGACTGATTTGTCATGGTGTTTCAGGTCTGTGTGGACTGATTTGTCATGATGTTTCAGGTCTGTGTGGACTGATTTGTCATGGTGTTTCAGGTCTGTGTGGACTGATTTGTCATGGTGTTTCAGGTCTGTGGACTGATTTGTCATGATGTTTCAGGTCTGTGTGGACTGATTTGTCATGGTGTTTCAGGTCTGTATGGACTGATTTGTCATGATTTTTCAGGTCTGTGTGGACTGATTTGTCATGGTGTTTCAGGTCTGTGTGGACTGATTTGTCATGATGTTTCAGGTCTGTGTGGACTGATTTGTCATGGTGTTTCCAGTCTGTGTGGACTGATTTGTCATGGTGTTTCAGGTCTGTGGACTGATTTGTCATGGTGTTTCAGGTCTGTGTGGACTGATTTGTCATGATGTTTCAGGTCTGTGTGGACTGATTTGTCATGGTGTTTCAGGTCTGTGTGGACTGATTTGTCATGATGTTTCAGGTCTGTGTGGACTGATTTGTCATGGTGTTTCAGGTCTGTGTGGACTGATTTGTCATGGTGTTTCAGGTCTGTGTGGACTGATTTGTCATGGTGTTTCAGGTCTGTGTGGACTGATTTGTCATGGTGTTTCCAGTCTGTGTGGACTGATTTGTCATGGTGTTTCAGGTCTGTGTGGACTGATTTGTCATGGTGTTTCAGGTCTGTTTGGATGGTCGAGGTTCTCACTTTGTGGATGCTGCCAATGTGGAGACTGCCAACTGGATGAGGTTTGTCAACTGTGCGAGGACGGAGGATGAACAGAATGTTACAGCATATCAGTTCGAGGGAAGCATATACTACCGATCATACAAGCCTATATTACCAGGTGAACTTATTGTCTGAAATAGCCTTTCTTCAATTGATTATCTGAAATCCTTCTACATTATAATGAAGTTGTAACCATGAAAAAGACGCATATTCACCTAAGTTTTAACTTAGGTAAAAATGAGCTGATAGTTATTGTAATTGAGAAATTAAATACCAATCCCAAAGGTGATTCTGGGGAAACATTTAAGACTTCTCTGAAAAATATCAGAAATTGAAGACTCTGATAATTGCATGATGGTAGGTCTCTAGGAGATTCAACTGTGACCTGGCACTGGACTTTCTCTGCACCCCACAGCCCCGGTCTTGGATTACCAATATCGTCTAACTGGAGGCTGCCCTGATGTTGATATGTACTGTATTTTCTTGAGCATAGTGCGCACCCCCCTCTAGCGGATTCAATATTTTGTAGAAAAAAAATTTGAATACCAAGCGCAGAAAACAAATTACGCCGTACCCCTTTAGCGAAGTCCGGCAAACGAACGGGTGTTGAGAAACTTGATCAGTACAAATTCAAAAATTTTAGATAAAAAATCACCAGACATGTTGATTTACCGTTTAAATTGTATTTTTTGTTCTGCTAGGCATTGTTTTATATCCAGGGGTTAAGATTACCTTGTGTATTTTCTCGTTAACTAAGCCGGACACAGCAATCAGCTTTACACACGTTTTCTTGGAATCTACCGGTGATTCGGTCAAGACACACCCAATGATATAACTTTACAGGATTTTGATGCAAGGATCGGCAAAAATTGTATCTGAAACTATTTTTTATCAGGAATAATATATTCCAATATCCTATTAATTTAGATGTAGCTTTTACTCAACATATTTAAAATAATAATAACCCTAAGCGAAGCAGCTGATCGCTATTGCCGGGTATTATTTTTTACATGGAACCAGTCTGACCAGTCACCATCAAGGCTCCAGTGCACGTGATCGCGAGAATTATGTGTTGACATAGAATCATCCATCAAAAACAAATATGACTTTTAACGAGTCACAGTATGGCATTTATGAAATATGTATCCATTCTCTGTCAACTAAAGTTAATTTCAAGGCGTCAATAGCGGTAATCTGACCGTGGTTGCTGTTAATAACAGTGAGTTTTGCGATCTTCCGATCGCTTCACACACGATGTTGCCGAAATTAATTAAAACAATATAAAAAGGAATTTTGAATAAAATTAATAAAATAAGTTACAAACGTAAGTCCAGATATACAAAGAACACTTTTTATAGCCAGACAGTGTTATTACATGACTAATTTGCGTACTTCAGTATGGATTTGTTGACATGGTATTTCCGGTGTTACGTGGTCACGGTAATGTCTTTCCATGGGGGGAAAAACATCAAAATTAATTAATTTGTGTATATTGCGCACCCCCTTCTACACAGCTGTATTTTTGGGGAAAAAAGTGCGCACTATACTCAAGAAAATACAGTATGCCCATTACATCGCTGACATACATGTGAAACCAAAATTAACTCTATAACAGTTTTGTTTATGTTACCAGGTGTCGAGCTGCTGGTGTGGTATGGACAGGACTATGCTAGAGACCTTGGAATAAGAAGAGAGGTGAAAGTGCATCATTCGAAAATTCCAGGTAAGTTTTGCCAAGAAAACCAGAATTATTTGCAATCTTTCTTGACACAGATACTTAAAATACACTTTGTTACAATACAATCCATTATTCTTTGACAGCTGTCATCATTATATAGAGAGGTAGTTGCAGTGATTTTGCTAGATACTAATGGCAATAAGACAATTTCATGAAATTCATTACTAACAATTTGACTGTCCTACCGGGTCAATATTAACTCTTTCAACACCAGTCAACCAGAAGTGTTTACTGCTGGGACACCGAGTTCCCAGAGACTCTTGTGTGATAGATGAAGCCAACATTTATCAAAGAAAATACCTGCTTGTAAAATATATTTGCTACTACATGTTATACACCATTTGAAAGGTCTGATCCTATGGTTTATAATTATGAAAGTTATGTTTTTCACATTATTTAAAAAAATGCATTTACAACTTAATTAAATTCGTTGTAAATAAAAAATGTACGCTAACACGTTGTTAACATCCAGATTAAGGACCAAGGAAGCGAAAACTTGACGATTTTCGGCAAATATATGATTTCATAATATCCACGTACCTATTTCTGTTTTATTTTCATTGTTTACGTAATTGGAAAATCATTTTAAAAAGAATTATAAATAGTTTCTGTGATCGCCCATTTCCCGATAACAGCGACTGTCCGCTCAGTAAAATGAAGAAATACCCCTGTTTTCGAGGTTTCGTATGAATAACACGTGCGTCGAAGAATGGCATATGACACATCGCTGGAAAGCTTATTCCTTCATCTACACGCTCGTAACATCGACTGGTTTTTTTTCGTAGTTATAACAAGTGATTTCATTGGATTAAAATTGGTTTCTAATGACGCTTTCTTGCTGAAATCTGCTACAAGTTTCGTGATTGGTCAATTTTGAACACGTGACCTAAGGCAGCCAATCAAATTACAGCTGTGATACCAAGCTCGTGTTCGATAAATTACAGAAGTTTGCGAAAGAATTTTGTTAAATCGTGTTGTTCTGAACGTTTTGAGCAGGAAATCACGATATATATTAAAAATATGGAACTTCGTGAATGTATCGTGCTAGGTTACGAGCTGTGACAAAGATTTTTCATGCATATATTTTTGCATTAAACATCGTGTCCGAGCCGAGAATTCAAGGCGACGAAAGCCGAGATGTCATTTGACTTACATTACACGCGATCGCATGAAAAGATGGAAATAATAATATAGATGTAAGTTTGATTAATTTTAGATATGTTTTTGTTGATTTTATTTATTACTTTGTATAATATATTTAAAGATTTGTTTAAAACGTCTTTATTTTCCTCTTTGACGTGTTCGATGTGGACCCGTTGTCGAAATGTGTGTCCGAGAATTTTATTTTCAATAACATCGCGAGAAATAGTGAATAATTTTTTAATTTAACGATAAAAAATGTTAAATTAAAATGGAATATGTATTTCAGACATTGTGAAATGTGATAGATTTAATAAATGAATGACATTACAGGTAGGTCCATAAAAATATATACTATTTTGATGTGACTACGGCTTGGCCGGATAACCGGCCTGCGGTGTCTGGGGACTTGATGCTTCTTGGCCGGATAACCGGCCTACGGTGTTGAAAGAGTTAAGAGGGATATAAATCCAGTACACAACTCATTTTGAATAACTTCTGAAAAATGACTGCATTTAGGAGAAAACAAGTAGTCAGGGGTTTTTGCTTGTTTCAGGAAATATTGAAGACAATTCTTATAAATACAACAATAACAACTTCACAGACTGCTTCTTAAATGATCATCACAAAAAAATGTGTAGAGTCCTTAAGATCAGTCTGTGCAATAATGCAACAAGTTCCATCCATTCTATTATCATCCAATTAGGAAACAGTCTGTTAGTGGATATGGCCTAATTTATTTTTCAGTTTATGGAAACGTAAACTCTGATTTGCTGAACAATCTTTCTAATATCAGAATCAATTGAAAATTTTGATTCAGTTTTGAATTTTAGTGATCAACACTATTTTGTGATCTTGTTTAATGTGTGTGAGACACTTTCTAAACAATGTCTAGGTCTAAAGGCACCAGATTCTGTGTCCTGTGCTGTATTGCCATTATTTATCAAGTTGAACAGTAGTGTGATGTGATGAATGGGCGGTTGGATAGACTAGTGGTTAAGGTGTTCGCTCGTCACGCTGAAGACCCGGGTTCAATTCCCCACGTGGGTACAATGTGTGGAGCCCCTGTTTGTGGTGTCCCCTGCTGTGAAAAAAGCGGCGTAAAACCATACTGACTGATGTGATGAAATAAGATGTTTTTTTTATATTTTTGTTCTTTACTTTCAGATATATACCCTTGTGATAGCTGTTATTTGAGTTTCAACTCCGTTGGCTATCTGTGGAAACACATGAAGAACAAACACGAGGGTCGGGTCACTGATCAGATCTGTGCCATGGCCAAGCTGCACAGATACAGTGTCAGAGATTTCACGTTCAAGTTGGGTTCTGGATTCATCTTTGTGCCACACTCGACCATGGGAGAACAGAACCTGAAAAACAGACAAAAATGTGTAAAACTGGAACCCGCAGTTGATTCAAAGATCCTACAAAATGATTGTTACAATACAGAAGTTAAAAGAAAACATTTTAGATCAGATCAAGTGATTTCTTGTCACAAATGTGGTAGGGCATTTAGTCATTCAGTGACTTTAGAGAGGCACACATGTGTGATAAGAGCAAGACCTTTCAAGTGTAGTGAGTGTGGGAAGGGGTTTACACGAGCAGGTGACCTGCAGAGACACATGAGATGTCACACTGGAGAGAAACCTTTCAAGTGTAGTGAGTGTGGGAAGGGGTTTACAGTAGCAGGTAACCTGCAGAAACACATGCGATGTCACACTGGAGAGAAACCTTTCAAGTGTAGTGAGTGTGGGAAGGGGTTTACAGTAGCAGGTAACCTGCAGAAACACATGAGATGTCACACTGGAGAGAAACCTTTCAAGTGTAGTGAGTGTGGGAAGGGGTTTACACAAGCAGGTAGCCTGCAGAAACACATGAGATGTCACACTGGAGAGAAACCTTTCAAGTGTAGTGAGTGTGGGAAGGGGTTTACACAAGCAGGTCACCTGCAGAGACACATGAGATGTCACACTGGAGAGAAACCTTTCAAGTGTAGTGAGTGTGGGAAGGGGTTTACAGTAGCATGTAACCTGCAGAGACACATGAGATGTCACACTGGAGAGAAACCTTTCAAGTGTAGTGAGTGTGGGAAGGGGTTTACACGAGGGCATTATCTGAAGAATCACATACAATGTCACAGTTGATTTAAATTCATCATGGGGTAGTGCAATATGGAAATAAGCATGGTAGATTTTGTTTACTAGATAAGTATTTCTTGATTGTGTTGAAAGGAATTCTTTACATTCTAAAACAAATAAACTCTGGTCATTGTTAGATTTATGATTGTGTACAGTCTTTTAAAAATATACACCTTTTGTTATATGATTGAAATTGTTAGGCAGTTATAATGCTCAATGAAATATGTAAATATATTATTTTAGAAATAAATGTATAACACTCAGTCTTGTCCTGTCAGATCAGAACTATGAACGCCCAAGAACTAGTTAGTTGCAATTTGAAAACAACATCCACACACTATCTTCAGCAGATTCCTATTAGGTTTTATAACCGTACTGTATTGTTACATTTCATACAGGTTTGAATGTTTACATTTTGTAAGTCTGTACTTTTTGAATTGTAATTGGTACCCAAAGTGAAATATGTGTGAAAGTCATTACCACAGGACCACCGTTCGTCACGAGACGCCCAAGCACGAGGAGCTCCTGGTTGCCACGTGCAGGGCGGGCTTATCGTGCAGCGGGAGTGGATATTTAGACTGATGCCCAGATTTCTGGTGGCGGTGAATTACTGCTGAACAGTGGTAAAAATCAAAAAGCTCTAGATTCATTCAGCTTACATGGCCTAATTTAGGTTAAAACAAAGTTACGTGAACTTTAATGACAGTTGGATAGACGCAATCGTTTTGCTAACACTCCAATAGTTTGAATATGGGTACTAAATCGTCCCATAGTCTTCCTTGAAAGGTTACAAGAGCGGTCACCCTCCCACAGTATAGTGAATATCACTTGAAGATTAGTTTAAGTAGGAGAAAGTCCGAAATCTCGCGATTATTTTCGCACGTGAAACTTGTTCTCGGCCTAACGGCCTCGAACAAGCTTGACGTGCGAAAATAATCGCGAGATTTCGGACATTCTCCTATACATAGTTACGGAGAAGTACAGATAGGTCTGTTTTTGAAAATTAGTATCCATTAAAACAAAGTTACGTGAACTTTAATGACAGTTTGATAGATGCAATCATTTAACTGACACTCCAATAGTTTGAGTAGTTTGGTAATATATCGTCCCACAGTTTTCCTTGAAAGGTTCCCCTCCCATAGTTAAACAAGAGCGGTCACCCTCCCACAGTACAGTGAATATCACTTGAAGATTAGTTTGAGGCATTAACTTGATCGAACTAACGGCCTCAAACAAGCTTCACGTGCGACAATAATCGCGAGATTTCGGACATTCTCCTTTGCTTAAAATCTGTAGTAAGCAGTAGAGACGACTGATATCGCTTCTATATCCCAGAATCAACTTGGAAAGGTACCATGCTTGCCGTAAAAGGCGTATAATATACATGCTTGTAAGAAGCGACAAACGGGATCGGGTGGACAGGCTCGCTGACTTGGTTGATAAATGTCATCTTGTTCATGTCAATCACTGGATTGTCTGGTCCAGACTCGGATTATTTACAGACCGCCGTCATATTGCTGGAATATTGCTGAGTGCGGCGTTAAACAACAAACCAAACCAAACCGAAACCTCTCACAACAAGCATGTTGCTGGGGGCCTATTTTAACCCGGAATCCCAGGAGGGTTATATGATCCTCAGACATACTGTAAAGTTACGCTGGTTGTGCGTAACGTTCCACAAGATAGAGACTTCATTTGAACCAAGCAACGTCAATCATGTTATTGCCGTAGAAACGTGAAACTAAAATATGTTTTGAACGCCTGATGGGCAGATGCGCCAGTTCAGCATTTGTTTGATGGTTACAAATTCCCCCAGCAACATGCTTGTTGTGAGAGGTTTCGGTTTGGCTTGGTTTGTTGTTTAACGACGCACTCAGCAATATTCCAGCTATATGACGGCGATCTGTAAATAATCGAGTAAGGACCAGACAATCCAATGATTGACGTCATTAGCATCGATACACGCAATTTGGATCGATGACATGCATCAACCAAGTCAGCGAGCCTGACCACCCAATCCCGTTAGTCGCCTTTTACGACAAGCATAGCCACCTCTTCCGGCAAGCATGGGTTGCTGAAGACCTAGTCTACCCCTGAATCTTCACGGGTCTAGTTGTGAGAGGCGACTTAATGGGGTGAGGTGTGGTGGTAAGGTTTGGTTTGGACTTGGTTGATTGTGAAGTTGCTCATGATACAGTGTTAATTTAAAAAAGAAAAAGAAAAAAAGCCGAGCAAACAACATCAGTTAAGGAACTGTTTAATTTTTGGCTGTAGATAGGTATAGAAATCAGTAAGAAAACCCGGAATAATTTGGTTCAGACAGCAAATCACGATGTCAGTTGTACTCACATGATTTAGGAATCAACGTTTTTAGTGCAATGAAACATATGAGATATTTTAGAGGATTTTATGCACGTTTGAAAGGGCAGGGGATATCATTGACTTTGGCTTCCTGTCTCAATCAAACTGAATTCTCCTATGAATCACTACAAGTCACATCAGTACAGGTGTTGGTGTACATTGAAACACCTCTCAGGTCTAAGTCTGTCTTTAGGTCCATGTTCTTACGGGCATCCGCTCCACAAAGCCGACGACTATGCTCCACCAGGCGACCGTAGCCGACGACTATGCTCCACCAGGCGACGCCTATGCTCCACCAGGCGACCGTAGCCGACGACTATGCTCCACCAGGCGACCGTAGCCGACGCCTATGCTCCACCAGGCGACCGTAGCCGACGACTATGCTCCAACAGGCGACCTTAGCCGACGACTATGCTCCACCAGGCGACCGTAGCCGACGCCTATGCTCCACCAGGCGACCGTAGCCGACGACTATGCTCCACCAGGCGACCTTAGCCGACGACTATGCTCCACCAGGCGACCTTAGCCGACGACTATGCTCCACCAGGCGACGCCTATGCTCCACCAGGCGACCGTAGCCGACGACTATGCTCCACCAGGCGACCGTAGCCGACGCCTATGCTCCACCAGGCGACCGTAGCCGACGACTATGCTCCAACAGGCGACCTTAGCCGACGACTATGCTCCACCAGGCGACCGTAGCCGACGACTATGCTCCACCAGGCGACCGTAGCCGACGACTATGCTCCAAAACTCGTATATTTAAACATAGATTTACCATAGTCCTAACCCTGAGCTCAATTTATGAATAAATGCCGCGACACCATTTCCATAATCCTACGAAATCTGCCCGAGTCGATTGTGCGATTCACACTACATTGCATACTGAGACGATATTGTATTGGGTTAAACACAAGACGACGATGAGAAGCTCCTTTGACTTGGTCATTGGCTGATGGACAAGGAAACTGAGAGTTTATAGTTGACACGAACCCAAATACACAGTATACAATACAAATAAATCATAAACGTCGGGGATATTTTACGAAGGTTTGTGTGTGACAATATCATAAGCAGGTGTTTATCAGTCACTCTCAGTGCAAAAAAATGTGATGGGGGCACTGGTGGCCTAGTTGTCTAAGGCGCCGCGATTCGCTGTGCAGAGTTACGTCCCTTGAGCACGTCAGAAACCTGTGATTGTGGGTTCGAATCCAGGCTCGCCCCGACTATGTTTCTAGGTTTGTCAGCACCATACCCGCGCTTGTGGGTTTCACCTACGTCTGAGACCTGCCTCACTTCGGGCTTTCCTCCCACATTAAGCTGACACGCCGTGATATAACTGGAATACTGTTAAAAGCGGCGTTAAACCCAACTCACTCACTGAAGTATAACTAATTAAGTACACGCTGCGATAAAATAGCAGAAGAAAAAGTCAATACCTTCCCTGGTAAATAACCCTCTATTAAATTCGGACTCATCGCACTCTGTGAAACAATATATAATCGAAAATGTCATGGAAAAACAAGCAACCTCTGTTATATTTGTTTTCTGTGTGATGTATCCCTGACCTAATGCTCAGTTTGTAGACCGTTTTAGAAAAAAAGGTTTTGTGTTGATATTATGTTTTAATTGTAAATATGACACGTCAACGCTAGAGAATAATCAGTCTCAAGTATCTACACTGGGCGTAAAAGGGAAAACAGTGATGAAAACTAGATGAATTGATCACTGAAAATGAGTGATGACACCAGACATTACATCGTTCCTTTTTATCCCCCCGGCATATAATGCGGGGGGATATAGCGATCAGCCAGCCAGACTGTCCGTCCGTCTGTCCGTCTATCCGTCCGTAATCATTTCCTTTTCCGGGGCAGAATTCCAAAACCATTCAGTGTATTTGATCGAAACTTGGCAAAGCTATCAGGCACATACTGAAGTGGTGCCTTTTGATATTTTGGGATTTTACTAATTTTTATTTTTTTAAATTTTTATGGAAAGAAGTTGGACATAGACTCAATTGGGGATGGGGTTCGTTTCCGGGCCAGAATTCCAAAACCATACAGTGTATTTAATCGAAACTTGGCAAAGCTATCAGGCACATACTGAAGTGGTGCCTTTTGATATTTTGGGATTTTTCTAATTTTTATTTTTTTAATTTTTTTATGGAATGAAGTTGGACATAGACTCAATTGGGGATGGGGTTCGTTTCCGGGCCAGAATTCGAAAACCATTCAGTGTATTTGATCGAAACTTGGCAAAGCTATCAGGCACATACTGAAGTGGTGCCTTTTGATATTTTGGGATTTTTCTAATTTTTATTTTTTTAAACTTTTATGGAATGAAGTTGGACCTAGACTCCATTGGGGATGGGGTTCGTTTCCGGAGCAGAATTCGAAAACCATTCAGTGGGTAAACAATGTATGCTTCTAAAAGAACATTCAACTGTTGACTCATTACATACAGAATTGCACATTTACTAGTGGTTACTTTACAGACAGCTGCCGAGGGGATATGTCATCTTTCTGATGACTCTTGTCTGTATTGTAAGGTTCAATTATACATTTGGTCGTTGCTGCATTTTGATGATTCTAATTATGAAAGTGTTAATTTGCTACCTAGACAGATTGATTATGTGCTAAATACTGTAAAGATCCGTGAAGACCAGGTTGCCAGAAGTTGTCTTTTGATACTTAGGGGTGTTAAGAAGTTATATTTCTTTTCCGTTTCCATGGCAACAAGTTTGACCCTGACTCTGTTCATAGTGGCATGCACCTGACATAGAAATATAAAGTTCCGAACCCAATTCCATGGTATTGTTTTGATGGCTTTTGCATACGGACAGACCGATTAGATAGACACGTTCTCATTAAGGGCTTAAAGTTGATGTTTTCTTTCAAATTCC